TCGCCCTGCGTCGCCTGTCCGTGCTGCTCGCACTAGTGGTCGTGGTTCGCGTCAGCGTCCTCCTCCTGTCCCTGGCACGCACCGGATGTCTCTGCGTCCGTCCACTGCTCCTCTGCGTGCCCCTTTGCCTTCTCCTCCTGAGTCCTCTCTTCCTGCTCTTCCTGACCCGGAGTCGGACTCTCTTCGTGCTGCCAGTCCTACTGTCACACGTCTCCTTGCTACTGTCGTCACTGACCCCTCTTTTGAGTCCACTGCTGCGTCTGCGCTTGTTGCTGAGCTTGTCGACTTTGCTGCTCGCTGTCGTCTAGACTACGCTGCCGGTCTTGTTGCTGAGTCTGCGTCTGTCTGTCCTCCGTCCGTCGGGGGTGAGTGTGCTCTTGGCACGGACGTCCTTGAGGACAGGCAGGAGGAGTTCCGGTGTCTGGCTGCTGCTTCACCTCATCTCGCGTCCGTACTACTTGCCCCTGAGGGAGACCCGGATGCACTAGACATCCCGACTCCGCGCTCTTACGCGGAGGCCGTAGAGGGTCCCTACTCCTCTCAGTGGCAGGCAGCTATGGATGCAGAGATGGCGTCCTGGAAGTCCACAGGCACCTACGTTGACGCGGTTCCCCCTCCTGGGGCGAACATCGTCAGTGGCATGTGGATCTTCAGGGTGAAGCGGCCGCCGGGCTCTCCACCTGTCTTCAAGGCGCGGTACGTCGCTCGTGGCTTCAGTCAGCGGCAGGGAGTTGACTACTTTCAGACCTTCTCTCCCACCCCGAAGATGACCACTCTTCGGGTGCTGCTGCACATAGCCGCTCAGCGCGACTACGAGCTCCACTCTCTTGACTTCAGTACTGCTTTCTTGCAGGGTAGCCTGCACGAGGAGATCTGGCTGCGCCGTCCACCTGGCTTCACTGGGACTTTCCCTCCTGGCACCCAGTGGAGCCTCAGACGGCCAGTCTACGGTCTCCGCCAGGCACCGCGTGAGTGGCACGACACACTGAGGACTACGCTTGCGGCTCTTGGGTTTGCTCCCTCTACTGCTGACCCGTCGTTGTTTCTGCGCACCGACACTTCTCTGCCGCCGTTCTACGTCCTCGTGTACGTCGACGACTTGGTCTTTGCCACAGCTGACACGGCTGGACTAGCCTACGTGAAGTCCGAGCTGCAGAAGAGACACACGTGCACAGACCTGGGTGAACTGCGCAGCTACCTTGGCTTGCAGATCACTCGGGACAGAGCACGCCGCACCATTACCTTGACTCAGTCACACATGGTGCAGCAGGTCCTTCAGCGCTTCGGCTTCACGTACTCCTCGCCTCAGGCCACTCCTCTGTCTACTCGCCACTCGCTCTCAGCTCTGCCTTCGGATGAGTCCGTAGAGTCGAGTGGCCCGTACCCAGAGCTTGTTGGCTGCCTCATGTACCTGATGACCTGCACACGACCTGACCTTGCATACCCTCTTAGCATTCTTGCACGCTATGTTGCTCCTGGGAGACACCGACCAGAGCACATGGCTGCAGCGAAGAGGGTGTTGCGCTACTTGTGCAGTACGTCGGGCATGGGGCTAGTGCTTGGAGGGCGGAGTCCAGTGGTCCTCACTGGGCACGCGGACGCTTCTTGGGCTGACGACCAGGCTACGCAGCGGTCGTCGCAGGGTTACACCTTCAGTCTTGGTTCCGGCTCTGTCTCGTGGCGGGCTACTCGCTCGTCCTCTGTTCTCGGCTCCAGTTGTGAGGCTGAGATCTACGCCGGGGCCATGGCTGCACAGGAGCTTCGCTGGCTCACCTACCTGCTGACTGACCTTGGAGAGCCGCCTCGTTCTCCTCCAGTGCTGTACGTAGACAACAAGGCCATGCTGGCCTTGTGTCGAGAGCAGCGCTTGGAGCACAGAACGAAGCACATTGCTCTCCGTTACTTTCTTGCTCGTGAGCTGCAGCAGCGTGGTCAGTTGCGACTTGCTTACGTGGCCTCTGCGGCCAACACTGCTGATGTGTTCACCAAGGCACTTGCGCCTTGTGACCATCAGCGCTTCTGCACCCAGCTGGGTCTTGTACCTGTCTTGCCTCACTTGCTCTCTTCTTGACCTTGCTTGTACTGTTACATATATATACCTGCTCTTGCTTGTCTAGCTCTATATATGTATATATGTGTACTCCTGCATGTGAACTGGCCTTGTGGCCTTGTCGTAGTGCTCGGACTGTGTGGTGACTTTGTGATCCACCCTGAGCTTGCTCTGCTTTGCTTGACTGGTCTTGTGACCCCTTGTTCTCCCCCACTTTGCCTATGGGGGTGTGTCAGAACATTATATAGCTTATGCTGTTGTGTAGGCTATAGTGGGGTATCCCATAAGGGGTACAACACAATTAGGGTTTCCCATATGTACTCACTTCATTCATAGTTCAAACATTCTCGTTCTTCCTTTCACATCGGAAACCAAAGGGGTGCGAAATTGTAGCCAAGTTTGGTGGTTGGGTGGCGTTGTGGAACCGCGCAGATCTGAATGTGACTTTTCCCGCCGGGAATTTTGACGGTGTGGTGAGTGGGTTGAGTGTCGCGTGGGCCGGTAGGAGTGTTTCGTGTGTGGTGGTTTGGCCCGGCCCGATTGGGTGCGACGGTTGACGGGAGTCGCTTTCTGGGCGGGGAAACGTGCGCGCTAGTTTACGGGTCGCTCACGCACGAAGGCCCCGAAGTGGTGTTATGTGCAGTTTGGGTCATCCGCAATTTGCGCATGCCCGGAACAGTGCTCATGACCCGAACCTGGATACGCCCTGACCTGCACAAGAGAAATTGTTCTAGGGGAAATTATACGGGCAGTCACAATTATGCCCGTTTTATCACGTTTAGTCACAGGGGAACCACAAACAGTCACAGTACAGTAGATTGCTATCGCGGGTGATCACAGTGCTATCACGGATGGTCACACCTCGCCCCGAAAAGCTATCACGTTTGGTCACTCGTTGAAACGGTCATTATAAGTTGAAACTACACAAGTCACTGTAGGGATTCAAGGACAGTTATCTCGCGCGCGCCGTTTTGTTCGTAGTGTCACGAAATTGTTTCGCGCACCCTCTCGGTAACTCGTTAAAATCATTTGAGATTTCTTGTTACTATTCGATTGTCCACTGTTCAATGGATGCATAATGACCCTAAAATATCACTTTAGATGGGTGAAACTTGTAGGGTTGCATTTTTTGTTCCCAAGACTAAAAAAACTAAAACCCATTCGGATGTGATTTAATTCGGGATGCATCAACCCTAAACACCTTGTCGCATGGTGTTTAGGGTTGATGCCTCCCAATGGACGTGCCATCCTTTAGGGGTTTGTTTTTTTCTTCATTCCCCTAAATGTCGGGCTAGAATTTTGCGCGAGGTAACAAGCAATGAAGGTTGGGATTCCCCAGAATTTCTACAGTTAATTTGTGGTTTCAAATTAATTATCCTCGTTTCATCGAGTGACCAAACGTGATAGCTTTCTCGGGCGAGGTATGACCATCCGTGATAGCACTGTGATCACTCGCGATAGCAATCTACTGTACTGTGACTGTTTGTGATTCCCCTGTGACCAGTCGTGATAAAATGGGCATAATTATGACTGCCCGTATAATTTCCCTTGTTCTAGGGTCCAAAGCGGCTTGGAAAGGTCAAGAAAGAAATATATCAGGTGAGGCTAGGTGTAATAATGTCGTGTCTGTAGGGACGACTGTCAAAGTGGGCAGTGTCAACTTGGCATTTTGACACTCTGCCAACAATGTTGCAGGTTGCCAGCCAATACAAATCGTCGGACACTTTTGAAATTGGCACAGACAAACCTACAAACGAGAGAAGATTGTCGCATGTGCCTATCTCACGACCAGATGCTGCCCAATCAGCACACAATATGTCTTTTGAATTGTTCGTTGTTTAGCAGATCTAGCCATGACAAATTCTCAAACCAATGAAATTGCGTCGCTGATGTTCGTACCTGCGCTTCGACTTGACACTTCCACTACAGTTCTTGACACTCTAATTTGAATGCGCTTCGGATTGACACGCTCTCACCTGACATGTCAACCCTACGGACACGAACTAGCTCATGACACAAACAAACCACTTCCACTCACGAATTTGCGATGCCCGAAAACAAAATGCGTAGACTGCTGCATGGTACAGATACACTTGTACACCTGTTCTCCGATATTTCCACACCCTGAACTTTGATTCTTCCTAGACACCCTACATGGTTGAAGGTTTGATGAGACGGACGCCCTGACATTGCGGGTCTATCAGGAAATAACCACCAGGTCAAGGCCTTTCGAAACTCGAACTTTGTAGTTCGAGTGAGCGGGGAAAATTCCAGTGCCAGATTGTTCCTGCGTTAAGCTCACATTGAGATTGTGTTACATTAACCCTGAAAATTCTTCGAGCGTTGCTAACTACCTTCGAAATCGGTTTTTTCGAGGGTAGGTACCCCAGGTTGTGAAGATAAAGGATGTGGAAATATCGGAGAAGAGGTGTACTTCGTCCAGGCAAAGAGTTGAACAAGACAACAAACGCCTTGGAAGTTACGTACAGTTGTACCTGCCTACAGTCGAGACTCGAGAGGCTGGAAGCGAGCCGAACAACTCAATCCGACAGCACACCACAGGGATGCGTGTGATGACAGACAGACAAGACAAGACAACCGCCTCGGCAAATCTCCCATACACGCGATAGTTCACGTCACAAGATCCCTTCGGAGCGTGAATGTTCAATAAACAGCGAAGTTCTGTACCTACACTCCCAATTACACGGGTTTGATAAGAGGACCCTATCTTTTAGGGTTCAGCCCACACAAAATATTGGAACATTGTCGTTGGAATTCTGGAATGGTTTAATGGTTAAAACTTAATGGATTAGTAGCATGCAGAAATTCATTTCCGCAAGGCCCGGACAGGCATGTAATGCATGATCAGATATTGGCGAGGCAGTGCCGGACGACGTTGGAGATGTGGGCCCTAGACAAGAATGTGTAAGTGTGTATGAGTGATCAATAATCATGTGTTGGCGAGGCAGCACCAGACAGCTTGGGAGAGAGGGGCATCCTCGAGGGGTTTGGAGAGGTAGTCATCCATGCCGACGGCAAAGCAGTGCTGGCGCGTGCCGGCAATCACATCCGCTGTGAGCGCAATGATGGCCACATGCCCCCCGCCCTGAGCCCTCTCCCGCGCCCGGATCCTCTGAGTCGCCTCCAGCCCATCCATGCCCGGCATCTGGAACTCGTAGAAGAGGGGAGGGGGAGAGGTTGGTGGAAAGGGGGAAGATCAAGGCCAAATGGAGTGTCAGACGCTCCAAGTCGCCTCCATCCCGTCCATGCCTGTCATCTGCAAGAAGGGGGGGAAGTCCATGTGAAGAATAAGGAATGAGGGTTTGGCTGGATCGTCACTGTTCATGGTTTCGGAGTATCACAATTAGTCACGAATAACTGTTTGTGACGCAAACATTGAAGACGCGTCTTGGCAGGAATGCACCCTGATTCTCAGTTACATGCAAGCTGTCCATGCCAGGCATCTGCAAAGGGAAGGGGAAGAAGAGACGAGGTGAGCCATGCATTCCCGTCACCTGGGGGTTGCATGAGGACGACATGGAAGGGAGAAGCGCAGCACGATCCACCCCCCTACCTGGAACACGTGCAGTACCTGCAGGGCCAGCAGGGCGAGGTGCACCAGGTGGTGTGCCTCATGGCCCTCTCTTGTCTGAAGTCCCAGCTGTCTCCCAGCTGTCTCCCAGCTGTCTCCCAGCTGTCTCCCAGCTGTCTCCCAGCTGTCTCCCAGCTGTCTTCATGATCTCACCTGGAGGTGTCATGTTGCTCATCCCTCTGATTGCCAACCCTTTCCAGCCCTTTCATCTCACCTGGAGGTCCATGAGGACGAGGTCGTAGGGGTGGGGCGGGGTGAGGGCTTGAAGCGCCTTGGCGCCGCCATCCACGGCGGTGACTCGCGCGCCGTGCCTCTCCAGCAGCTTGCTGGCCACCTTGCGGTTGATGAGGTTGTCATCCACCACCATCACCCGCCGACCCACCAGCACTGCCAGCCCCTCCCCCACCGTTGCCGGCTTTTGTGTCGCTGCTGACGCTGCTGCTGAGGAGGATGCTGCTGCTGATGGCGGGGCGGCTAGTGGCGATAGTGATGGTGTTGCTGCTTGGGTGGCAGCAGGAGTGAGTGTGACTGAGGAGGAAGAAGATGACGCAGGGGTGAGATCTGCAGGACGAGCATACGGGGGAGGGAACCCTGATCTATCAAGCACACTTCTGAAAGCACGAACTCCACCACCAGCAGCACTAGCAGCACCAGCAGCACCAGCAGCACCAGCAGCACCAGCAGCACCAGCAGCACCAGCAGCATCAGCAGCACCAGCAGCATCAGCAGCACAGCAGCATCAGCACCACCGGCACCACCAGCAGCATCAGCAGCAACGTAACGACCATCGCTGCTTTTCCGTCGCTCACTCCCTCTCCCATGCAACCTCCCAGCTGCTCTCCGTTCACCCGCTGACCCATGCTTTGCTGCCCTCCCTTCGCCCTTCGACCCATGCATCTCTGCCCGACGCTCTGCTGCCCCAGCTGCTTCCACCGCGCTTCCACTCCTCACCAGAGCCCGCATCTTCTGAGGCACATACTGCTGCAACCCCTGAGGCACATACTGCTGCACCCTCTCAGGCACATAGTGCTGCCACCCTTGAGGCGAATCAGAAACGTTATCCACAGCACTGCCACTCCTTACCAGGGCTGGCCCTCCCTGAGAAACAGAGTGCAGCAATCCCTTAGGCGCTTTGGGATGTTTTTCCACAGCACTGCTGCTCCTCACCAGGGCGTGCACACCCTCAGGCACGTAGTGCTGCCACCCCTGACGCGAACCAGAAGTAGTTTCCACAGCACTGCCACTCCTTACCAGCGCTCGCCCTCCCTGGACCGCATTAGAAAGTTCTTCCTCAGCACCCGTGCGCCTCATCAGAGCTCTCCCTTCGAACAAACCACTTCCGCTCACAACACAAGAGGCAACAGAAGCAGCACCAGATGTGAAATCAACCGAAGCAGCAGAAGTAGCGTTGGTAGCAGTTGTAAAATCCATTGACAGACCGGCAGCAGCAGCAGCAGCAGCACCGGCAGAACCGGTAGCACTGGCAGCACCGGCAGCACTGGCAGCAGCAGCAGCACCGGCAGCAACAGCAGCACCGGCAGCAGAAGCAGCACCGGCAACAACAGCAGCACTGGCAGCAGCTATGGCTGATGCTGGAATGAGGTGCTCTAGAGACGCTACTCGATTGGTCAACGAGGCTCTGTTACCATCCACTCCATCCACTCCATCCACACCATCCGTACCACCCACACCATCCGTACCACCCGCACCATCCGTACCACCCACACCATCCGTACCACCCACACCATCTGTACCACCAACTCCATCCACTCTAAACATACCGCTGGTGCCGCTGGTGAGGAGGTGGGGTGCGAGATGCATAGCTAGGGAGGCAGAGGGACCACCACTTGCAACGGGGCTTGCATGTTCGGACTTGGCAGATTTACGCGGGGGAGTGCTTGGGGTTCCGGGAATGGCGAGAGTATCGGGAGTGTTGGGAATGATGTAAGTGTTGAACGTGGTTGGAGTGGTGGGAGTGGCTAGAGAGGTAAGAGTGGTGGATGAGTGGGAGGGGCACAACGGAAAGGATTCGAGTGATGGTGGGGAATTGAGTGACTGGGGAAACTTGAGAGCTCGTGGGGACTTGAGTGTTCGTGGCGAAATCACAGCTCGCCAGAAGGCTGCTGCAGCGCTGCTGCCTGCCTTGTGGAGGGCCGATGGGCTCAGCACCACACCACCACCCCGCTGCCCCTTCGCCACGTCCCCATTCTTGCCTCCTTCTCCTCCTCCTGCCTCTGCTCCTCCTCCTGCCTGCCCACACCCACCTTGCTCCTCCCCCACGTCCGCACCAAACAGCGGCAGAAGCGCCGCCAGCAGCGCTGGCTTCCGCAGCGGCTTCCTCACGACAGCGTCAAAGCCAAGTGACAATAGCGAGGGGATGGACGGGGCGGGTACGAGGGAGAGAGCAGGGGAGGGAGAGAGACGAGCGGCAGTGGCAGGTATTGACGTAGAGGGAGAGAGGGACAGAGCAGGAGGCCTGTTCCTGATGCTGCCTTGGAAACCGCTCATCCCATCGTTGCACGCACAGTCACCCCCCTCATCCCTTTCATCCACCCTTTCTCCTTGCCTTTTGCGGCTGCCCTCCCTCTCCCTGCTCTTACTCTGCTCCAAGCTTCCCTCCCTGCTGCCGCCCTCGTTGGCCCCCTCCCTGCCCCTTGCTCCGGTTACTCCCTTCCTCCCCTTTCTCTGGTCCAGCTCACCCCCTCTTTGGCCCTCAGGACAAGGCTCACAGGAGAAGCTGCCCCCGTTATATGCTTCTCTCTTGTAAGGGCTGAGACTGTCGGGGGCGGCAAGGCCTGTAGCAAGAGAGTGGGGAGGGAGAGGAAGAGAGCCGTGGAGAAGCACGAGGAAAGGAACAGGCCACCTGCAGTTGCTCCCGCTGCAGGAACAGGAACAAGGCAAACCGCAGCTGCTGCAGTTGCTACCAGCAGTAAGGCTGGTAGGCTGCTCCTCCTGTGAACCCACAGCTGCTTCACTGGTAGGTTTTAGAGAAGCACATCTGCTATTGCTGCTCTTGCTGCCACAGCCCTTCTCTGCTGCACACCTACTCACTCCCTCCTTCCTCCTCCCTTTCTTCCCTTTCCCCCCAACCGTACTCACGTTGTCTCCTGCCTGGCCTGACATGAGAGCATGGATCTGATCTGCTGTGACGCCCAGCCGCTGCATCATCTCCCCCTCCACCACCACCGCCCCCACCCATCCCCACCTCTCTGCCTTGCTCAAGCTCCTGTAGTGCACCCGCTGCTGCGATCTTTGAGAAACCCTGGAAACGCGTTGCTGCACCTGCGCTGCTCCATCCTCCTCCCCTCCCTCCTCCTCTCCTTCCTCCTCCTCCTCCGCCTCTTCTTTCTCCTCCTCCTTCCCCTCTTCCCCCTCCTCCGTCTCCTTCTCTTCCTCCTGCTGCCACTGCCACTGCCGTTGCTGCAGCTGAAGCCACTGCTGCTCCTCCTCCCCTCCGCTTGCAATTCTCTCACTAGAGCAGTGAACATCGTTGGTGAGCGGCGGACGGGCGATGGAGATAGGAGGGCAGGGAGGAGAAGCAGCGAGTGAGATAGGAGGGAAGGAGTACTGGCGGGAAAGGGGAGCGACGGATGGACGAGGAGCCACAAGGACAGCGGGCGAGCCAAATGGGTCGAGAGAAGGAGCAGACGGGTCAGAAGTAGAGCCAAATGGGTCGAGAGAAGGAGCAGACGGGTCAGAAGTAGAGCCAAATGGGTCGAGAGAAGGAGCAGACGGGTCAGAAGTAGAGCCAAATGGGTCGAGAGAAGGAGCAGACGGGTCAGAAGTAGAGCCAAATGGGTCGAGAGAAGGAGCAGACGGGTCAGAAGTAGAGCCAAATGGGTCGAGAGAAGGAGCAGACGGGTCAGAAGTAGAGCCAAATGGGTCGAGAGAAGGAGCAGACGGGTCAGAAGTAGAGCCAAATGGGTCGAGAGAAGGAGCAGACGGGTCAGAAGTAGAGCCAAATGGGTCGAGAGAAGGAGCAAAAGGCTCAAGAAAAGGGGATAACCCCTCAAGACGATGACTGACTGATTCTGAATGCTCTTGAGTGCACGTGTCGGCTGAAAGCAGAGGGACCAGAGACTGATCACGAGGGGTGGAGTGTGGTGTGGGGGAAGTGGTTATAAGGGCTCCGATGGATCGTTGAAAGGAGGGCAGTGCGAGGCTTGGCAGTGAGGTGTGTGATTTAACGTGGCGAGGAGGGGGGGGAGTGAGAGGAGCCGGTTGGTGGGCTCTTTCATGCGCCTCGAAACTCGTGGGGGAAGCGGTTAGAAGGGATCCAAAGGAGAGTTGCGAGGTGGGTAGAGCGAAGCATGACAGGGCGGTGTGTGACTTCACGCGGCGATGATGACGGGGAGGGGTAAGAGGAGCCAGTTTGTGGGGTGCTGCTGGTGAGGATGTGAGAGAGGCGGTGCAAGGAGCATTAGAGGGGTGGTTGGCTGTGTGACTAGGAGAGAGGAGGTGAGAGAGGTATGTTGCAGCAAGAGACGGCTCAGAGGTTGGTTCAACCTTGTGTTGGTTCTTCTCCTCCTGCTGCTCCCCCTGCTGCTCCCCCTGCTGCTCCCCCTGCTGCTCTTGCTGCTGCTCCGCCTGCTGCTCAGTGGGAGCGTGTGTGGCATGACTCGATAACCCATGGTGCATGGAATGACATGACCCATTGTGCACGGCATGACATGACTCATGGTGCATGGCATGGCGTGAGCCATGATGCATAGCACGGTGTTGGGCGAGGAGGCGGGGGAGGAGGTGGAAGGAGGGGCAGGGGAGGGTGCAGAGGCCAAGGCGGCGCAGCAGAGAGAGAGTGACGGCATGCCGCACCGCCCGGTCGTCCACACTCACCACACACACTCCCTCCCATGCCCGTGCTGCCCTCCCCTGACTCTCACCACTCCCACACTCTAGCCTACTTCCCCCCTGCTGCTGCCCCTGTTGCTGCTGAACCTGCTGCTGGCTCGTGGTTTGGGGGGGCAAGTGGAAGGGGCTTCGTGGAGAAGGAGGAGAGGGGATGCAGGGGATGCCCGAAGGGAGGGATGCAGCAGGCAGGGGAGGAGGGAGGGAGAGAGAGGAGGGAGGCTGGACGGGAGTAAGAGGAGTCCAAGGTTGGGGAGGATGAGTTGGGGAGCGAGGGGGGTGAGGGAGAGGGGGTGTGTGGAGGAGAGGGGGTGTGTGGAGGAGGATATCGAAGAGGAAGGTGGTGCCAACGCCTGGCTTGGTGGCAAAGGAGATGGATCCACCCATCAGCGACACCAGGCGCTGCACGGGTTGGGGAGTGGGGACGGAGGGGAGTGGTAGAGGGGATTGAGTGGGGAAATGAAAGGAGATGGGTCCCCCCATCACTGACAGCAGGCGTTGCTCACATGGGCGAGTGGGAGAGGGCAAGCGAGGAGGCTGGTGGGAGGGACAACATAGCGTACCTTACACGACAGCCGTAAAAACACAACACACCTTGCAGATGGAGACGCCGATGCAACGCACCTTAAAGCCCGATTTGACACATTCAGTGACGCACTCCCAATGCAACGCACCTTGCAGATGGAGAGACCAAGGCTCTTGATGCAATGTACATTGAAACACAGGTTTCCTAACACAACACCCCTTGTAGATGGACAGGTGTCCAGGTGCAGCGCACCTTGCAGATGGAGAGGCCGATGCCAGTCCCCCCATGCAGCCGTGCCGTGCTGCGGTCTGCCTGCGCGTACGGACGGAAGATGTGCCTCCGAGCGTGGCGGGGGATGCCGGTGCCGGTGTCTTCAACGGCTACCAACAGCCGCACAGGCTGGTCGGGTACCACAATGCCATGGCCACGGTCATTGCCATTTCCATCGCCACACCCATCGCCACACCCATCGCCATGCCCATCGCCACACCCATCGCCATGCCCATCGCCACACCCATCGCCATGCCCATCGCCACACCCATCGCCATGCCCATCGCCACACCCATCGCCATGCCCATCGCCACACCCATCGCTATCACCACACCCATTGCCATGCCCGGTAAAGCTTGGATTGCCCATGCCCACGGCAGCAAGGTCCATGTGCTCCTGCATGCCCTCCCACGAACACCACGTCTTCATGGCTGGTATGCCACTCAACGTCAGACATGCAGGTTCACTTGGTGCCTCCAGAATGGTTTTACTGCCGCCATTAGCGCCCACACCACCAGCAGCAGTGGCCACACTGCCACCCATGCAGGCGCTGCCACCAGCACCATCATCGATATCATCCCCAGCAGCACCTTTCCTCCTTCTAAATGCAGCAGAGATGGAGGGTGGTGGTGCTGATGCTGAGGAAGTGGAGGCAGAAGGGGAGAGCAGCGGTGGAGGGGCAGGGCTGCTGCTGGTATCAATGTCGGTGGTGTTTTGAGACGTCTTAAAACTGCAATTGGTGTTGGTGGTGGCTGCGAGGCGCACGGCAATGAAGATGTGGCCGTTGGTGGTGAACTTGAATGCGTTGCTTATGAGGTTGATGAGGATCTGATGCACAGCAGAAGAAACACACACAGACCCACAGAGGCGCACGCGCGCGCGTGCACACACACACACACATACACACGCACACACATACACACACACGTGCATGGAGCAGGGGCATTGGACATGAATTTGAAGGCGTTGCATGTGCGAGAAGTGGAAGGAGCAAAGATCGTGACGAGTTTAGAAATCAGCCCAAGCGGCTCCACGAAAGGCCATGCCCCTCCCATGTACTCGACCCTGCCATGCACTTGACCCTGCCATGCACTTGACCCTGCCATGCACCTCACCCTGCCATGCACCTAACCCTGCCATGCACCTAACCCTGCCATGCACCTGACGCTGCCAAGCACCCACACATGACCCTATAAGCACCTGCCCAATCATTCTTAGCAACAGATTTTGTCAGAAGACCTGCACTGGAGATCCTCGTTTGATTTTACGGAATGTTACAAGTTTAGAATCGGGAAGGTTATAAGCGTACTCTTCTGTTACTTAACACACTCTTTTATCCTAGTGGTGTGTTGTGTGGGGCTCTGACATGGTATCAGAACAAAGGTGTCGGGTTCGAATTCCCAGGTGCGCAAATTCTGGCACCCATGTGTCTCTGCCATTGTGTCGTGTCCTAGGGCATCTTAGTTAAGGGGCGTCAGAAGACCTGCGCTGTGGATCATCAATTGATCCTAGGAAATGATAACATATTAGAAGTCTGGAGGTTAATGAGCTCACTCAACCGCTACTTCACAAACTCTTTCATCTCAGCGGTGTAGTGGGTGGGATTCTGACAGATTCAACCGGAGCAGATCCTTCGTGAGCGCCTCAGGCACGGATTCGAAAAAATGCGGCAAGCTTCATGAGGTGTTTATCCTCAGTGTAATCCAACTTGTCGTACCCTAACCATTCCAAGCACCTGTCGTTTCTAGGCACTTGCCTGACCTTTTACGCACCTGCTTCACTCGGAGCGGATCCCCCACGAGCATTTCCGGCACGTCGTCGGCGACAAACGCAGCAAGCTCCACTGAACACTTCTCTTGAACACTCTCCACAAAGAGCGCGAGGACGTCGTCGAGCTCGGCGCGCATGTTGAGGGGGATGCGCTCGAGGCAGAGCTTCTCCGCCTCGATCTTGGAGAGGTCGAGAATGTCGTTGATAAGTGCACATAGCGCCCTCCCGCTGCTGCACGCCGTCTCCGCGTAGTCCTTCTGCGACCTGTCTAGAGGAGTCTCCATGAGTAGATTCAGCATGCCTGGTGGAGAGAAGGGTAGGGGAAGGAAAAGGAAGAATAAGGGGGGAAGAGATAGCAGTCAGCTTGTCCAGATGGGATTCCAATAGCTGATTCTTTTGCGAAAATTCACTTTTCTGAACTCGAAATTCTGTTGTCCATTTGTAACAATATGTATTATGTTTGCGTCTGCATAGTGCGTTTGTGCATTTGTTAGCTTTTGTTGTTTTCGCTTGATGCATATGCAGGAATTGTTATACGTGCGTTTCGTCGTAACATTTACGCGCTATAAATGGTAACAGCTGGAGCAGAAATCAAGAGCTAAAGGAATTCCAGATGTACACATCACCTCACATACGGCATACAACACTGTTTCCGCCAACATGACCGAACACGTAACATTCGTCTCGTGAACTGTTCCCGCCATCACAACCATCGCGGCTAGACCAGCTGATAACCTACGACCCAGCTCTACGACTCTGGCGTTTTCCCAACCTCGCGCTAGGTTTGTTAGGCACCCTCATGTTCGATCATTACCGTTACCTATGTTTTTGCTATATAACTTTCGCTCATATCCTTGCTCATGTTGATCAACTTCACTCCTCCTCCTCATGTACAGCCAAATGATGAAACCCACAACACTTCATCATGGGTTTGATGAAACGCTCTTGAAATTTCACGAATGAAACTCTCTCATCCAAACAACTGTGATTGATAAATTCCACAATATCACGCTACGGCCTTACCACGTTATTAGAATACCATGTTAGCACGATACCTATGACGCCGTTCATGGGTGTGCGGATCTCATGCGACATCGTCGTGAGGAACGCGCCCTTGGCTCGGCTCGCCGCCTCGGCCTCGAAGCGGGCGGCACGCAGCTCATGCTGGGCTGTAGCTAGGTGCTGACAGTCGCACTCAAAGGCGTGCATGAGCTGGATGCTCGTCCAAAGCAAGAATGTGGAGACGCTGAGGAAGAGCGCGGCCACGATGATCCAGATGAACGGGCTGAACGGCTTGGCGTATGAGATGTGCCTGTGGTGGGGTGGGAGGCGGGAGGTGGGAGGGCGAGAGGCAGGAGCGGGAGAGAGGGAGGGAGGGGGGCGTGCGCGGAAAGGGATATGAGCCTGTGGCAAGATGGGAGGTTTGGTGGGGGGGGAGTTGGGGGTAGTGAGAGGGTGGGGGAGGCGTAGAGCTTATGCAGTGAGACGGAGGTGGTGGCAATCGCAGATGTGTCTACGGAGGAATGGGGGGTGCGTGGTGAAAAAGGAAAACAACATTTGATGAGCTTTAGAATTAGCCACCACAATTCATATGATGGGACTGAACGGCATGCTCTAGGAGATGTCTTGTGGCGAGAAGGAGGGCAAGGGGCGAGTGGGAAGGAGAGGAGCGTGGGGGTGGGAGGGAGGCAAATGGTGGGAGTATGGAAGGGAGGGAGTGTTGTGCACCAAGTATGTCCTAGTGGGTTAACACTTTTCCTTCTCAATATGCTCAATAAGACATGTCCATACTCCACCTCACTCACCCACAATGAAGCGTGGTCACAGTTGCAGTGTCACCTGTCCACTCATCCCATGCTCACCTTGCTGGCCCCTATGGTGTGCCATATGCTGCCATGTGGGATTTTGTTCCAGCCTAGCCCACATGTGAGGCCTTTTTTGCTAGCTTGGCAAGGTTGGCTAGTCTTTTCCTTAGGTATGAGGGTGCGATCTATTTTTTACAGGGAGAATGCGAAAGGTTGGATTTAAGCGACATGCATCTTGGGAGGAATACGCGCACATCTGTGTATATGCATGCGCGCAAGTATACATGTCTTTTAGATGCATGGATGCATCATGCATGCATGACACATGTACGCCTAATGCCTAAATGCCTCTACATACGTACATGTGCATGCATCTTAGCACATCCACACGCACACCTCAACTCACTCGCAGAAAATATAGAACTTTCTCGTCGGGTCACCCATATGCAATGTGCGCCGCACCCCATCCTCCTGCCCCTTCCCATCCATCATCCATGCTCCAATCTCCTCCTCACCCACCACCCCCTCATGATCAAACAACAGCGCTGGCAACCACTTTCCAGCCTTCCCATCCTCGTTCCTCGCACCATCCCACGCCCCGCCCCTCGTCCCATCGACCAGATAAACCCTCGCGTTCAGCTCCACCAGCTGCTGAAACCCTACAAGCGACCGCAGGTTTTCAAAGTTATACCCCGCGATGACAAATCCTTGTGGGAGCACCCCGGGGGCGGCGAGCGGAGGGATGGCGACGGAGGGAGGGGAGGGCGAGGGGGGCAGGGCGAAGGTGGTGAGGTTGGAGTAGACTGGGAAGGCCTGGCCGATGAAGTGGTATGGGTAGTTGTCGCGCATGAAAGGAGGAGACATGGCAGAGGATGCTGAGTGGATGGCCCGGTGGAACGTGTCGTTGAAAGGTGGGTCTGAGAGGAAGGGTGGGAGGCAATGGGATGCGATGGGATGCGGTGCGACGCGGTGGGATGTGGTGGGATGCGGTGGGAGACAGTGGGGAGGCAAGGAAAGTTGGAGAGTGGAGTGAGCAAGAGAGCTTTTCGATTTCCCGAAACCGACATGCTGCCTTACCAAAAGAAGATGAAATTGTTTTGAGACGTCTCAAAACAAATTTATTGTCACGTGGCTAACCAAAAGACTAATCAAACAAAATTTTCAACTAGGAATCGAAGGCAGTCTTTCTGGCCCGGCCTTTCCAATCACCTGCCATGAGGTCGTTGCAGCAGACTGCAGAGAGGTTCACACGCGCATTGAACTAGCAGATTCTAGAATCCTCGAGAGTGGCTACAGTTCCTTCCATCTACCAGCCCGGCCCTTCGACTCACATGCCTGTCCACTCACTTGCCATGAGGTCGTTGCAGCAGACTTCTGAGAGGTTCACGCGCGCATTGAACTCCTTGCGAGTGTTGAAGATGACAATCGGTGCGTACAGCAACAGGTCGCGCGGGCGGCAGGAGAGTGTGCCATTGGGCTCTGGAGCGAAGATGCAGTGGTGGGCGTTGGTTTCCACCATATCGCGCACGAATGTGTTGTTGATGAGGAGAATGAAGCCCACGACTTTGGGGGGGGGTGAACGGGGGGGAACACAAGGGGGAAGAGCACAGGAGAGCGCGCCGTTGGGCTCCGGGGCGAAGATGCAATGGTGGGCGTTTCTTTCCACGAAGTCTCGAATGGTTTCTTTCCATCAGTGGTGCTGATGAGGAGAATGAAGTCTCGAATGAACGTGGTGCTGATGAGGAGAATGAAGTCTCGAATGAACGTGGTGCTGATGAGGAGAATGAAGTCTCGAATGAACGTGGTGCTGATGAGGAGAATGAAGCCCATGACTACAGGGGACACTGGGGGGCAACGGGAGGAACCCAGTGGGGAAACGCGGGAACATATCACATGCAACTCACATGACACCATCGAGCATATCACATGCAACTCACATGATGCCATGGGTCGGCTGTCGAGGGTAGCTTGAGTGAAGCGTTGGAATTTGGGCACGTCAAGTAAGTCCTCCTTCACGCTGCTTGTGGGGAGGAGGGAGGGGGGGGAGGGTGGGGAGGGGGAAGGGGTGTCGGTGTCGTGTCAGGCAAAGCGACGCAAAGCAAAGAACGCACACGGCTGCCCGTACGTAACAAGGTAGTAGGGACGAACGAAATCAATACTCGAACAGAACTTCCCAGCACAGGACAAGCGAAGCAAGCCTTTGGCTGCCCTTACTTTTCAAGGTAGTAGGTACAGATGAAGTCAACGCAAAAACTTCCCAGCACAGGAGAAGCATCCAAGCACGGATGGCTGTCCAGACTTACTTATCGAGGTAATAGGCGCGGATGAAGTCGGAAATAGAGCGTGTGTTGGCAGCCGTGATGTTGAACTTGGCCTCTATGAACGCGGCCCACTCATCACAGTGCCCCTCCAGGTCCTCCCTCTCGTTCGCCTCTGCATGCTGCCACGCCACTGCAAACACCAGCGACAGGATGGCCGCGGCCACCAGCACCCACACCCACAGCATTCGCTGGGAGGGGAAGGGGTGGGGGTGGGGGAATTGAGGGTTACGGGGACGAGGAAAAGGGGAGAGGGAACGGGAAGAGTATTAGTATGGGAGGGACGGTCAGAAGATACGATGGGTGTTACCCCTTCCACACCTACTGCACCCGCTGGAAAGGGGAGGCGGAGGAAGGGGGGAAGAGGGTGTGACAGCGGGAGAGACGGTGAAAATACATGATAGCCGCGCCTAGCACCACCCACACCCACAGCACTCGCTGGGACAGGGGAAGGAGGGGAGGGTGGTGGGAGGGGTGTGGGCACGTGAGCAGGAGGGGAACTGAGAAGCAGGAGGAGTTACTCTGCATGCTCATCCCACGCAGCTGTCCCTCTCCCATGTCGTCACACACACCAACAACAGGATGGCCCCTGCTATAACACCTCGCTACCCACTGGGTCAAAACCTTAACACAGCCCACGGGCGTTACACTCGTCCCCCCTGGCACCAAGGTCCCCGTTGGCTCTCTACTTCAGGGAATCAGCCCGCTGCTGCTGGGACCTAGATTTCGCAGTGCTGCTGCGACTTTGCTGGTTGCTCAGGCCAGCGGAGGATCGTTCGCTGGGTTCAAGTCTGGTTACCACGTTCGGGTTCTTGTTAAAGGCGGAAAGGTGGACCAGCCGGGACTTGAAACCTAGACTCTGATACCAGTATAACACCTCGCTAACCACTGGGTCAAAACGAGGGTTGAAATTTGGTGCAACGAAATGCCCTTAACACACAGCCCACAGGCATTCCACTCGTCCCACACGTCCCCGTCGGCCCTCGACATCAGGGAGCCGGCCCCCACGGGGACCTCACTTCAGGGCCGTCCGCTGGGTTCGCTACTGAGTCACCACATTCCAGGTCTCGCTCACAGCGAACAATGTGGACCAGCCGGGAATCAAACCCTAAGCTTTGATACCAGAATAACACCTCGCTACCCACTGGGTCAAAACGAGGGTGTTATTTGGCGCAGTGGATGGAAGGGAGGGTATATAAGGGGGAGGGAGGAGGGGGACGGCGAAGGAGGAGGCTGGGAGGAGGGGGACGGCGAAGGAGGAGGTTGGGAGGAGGGGGACGACGAAGGAGGAGGTTGGGAGGAGGGGGGTAAGCAGAGGGCGGAGGCAGAGAAGCACGTGGTTGTGCGTGTGGTCCCTCTCATTTGACTCCTTGTGCTGCCACGCCGCCGCAAACAAGCACAGGGCTTACGACTCAGAACATTACGCATGGCACGGCGTCCGGATAAAAAACGGTAGGTATGTACTTCTTATGGATCAGAACGCGACGCAGGGCAACGGTTCGTCTAGCACACACACACACACAGCACGCCATACTACTATTCACGGCGCACCCTGCACCACGAGTGGCTGAGTCGACTGGACATCAACCTCGGCCGACACACACACACACACACACACACACACACACACACACACACACACACACACACACACACACACAGAACAGTTGCGTACAATCCGCGGCGTACCTTGCGCCACGGGTGGCTGAGTCGCCTGAGCGGCCACGACACGAACCACTCCACACTCGTCAGCCACGACTCCCGCCCATGCTGCCCTTCCGCCTTTTCCGCGACCCCCTTTTCCGCGACCGCCTTTTCCGCGACCCCCTTTTCCGCGACCCCCTTTTCCGCGACCCCCTTTTCCGCGACCCCCTTTTCCGCGACCCCCTTTTCCGCGACCCCCTTTTCCGCGACCCCCTTTTCCGCGACCCCCTTTTCCGCGACCCCCTTTTCCGCGACCCCCTTTTCCGCGACCCCCTTTTCCGCGACCCCCTTTTCCGCGACCCCCTTTTCCGCTATCGGTTCCGCCAGCATCGCCATTTCCGCCTCGTATTCCCACCCGCGGAATCCATATCCGCCATCGGCAGACGCATTCCCCTCCGCCCTCTCCGCCCTATCCGCCGTCCCCGTCCCCTCCGCCCACTCCGCCCTATCCGCCGTCCCCGTCCCCTCCGCCCACTCCGCCTCCTCCTCCCCCTCCGCCCATTCCGCCTCCTCCGCCCATTCCGCCTCCTCCGCCTCCTCCTCCCATTCTGCTTCCTCCGCACCCTCCGCCGAGTCGAGATCACTCCTATCGTCTATCTCACTCTCCCTTCCGCCTTCTCTCCCCTCTTCTCTCGCCTCCTCCTCCTCGTTCTCCCTCTCGCTCTCCCCGGCCGATGCGCATAATGCGCCATTGCCATTGACGGTGAAGCACGTCAAGGCGCGTGTGGCTTGTTTACGAATCTCTAAAGGTCGTCGTTTCTGCTGTAGGCTCAGAGACGGGTAACAACCCCCTGGGGGGAAGTGTACTGTCTCTTCTCGTCCCGTCAGTAAGCCTTCGCAATCCTCCTCCACTTCTAAACCCCCGTTTGACGACGCCGCTCGATTCGCTTTATAAGCTGCCGTGACGGTGACGGATTCTGTCAACAATGTATCGTTCAGAATCCGAACAGAGCAGTTTCCGCTAAGCATTTGGAACACGTTTCCATGCCTTGTCAAGCGAGCTGGATTTTCGGTGCGATCCATAAAGCAGTAAGGCACGCGTGACACGACATGCAAACGCAGCTAAAAATAGATGAGCACTGAATGACAATAAGGAGCACGGACGTCTTCAGTTCAGCATGGAGCCCCTGAAATAGATGAGCACTGAATAACACACTGTCCTGGCTCGCAAGAAGGGAGTAAATAGGGGCGCATTCCTGAGTTTGGAAACCATCAGAAGTTTTCCCACGCGGTTCGCAAATGTTGACGTGGCATTATCTGACATTTCAATGTTCTCCCACGCGGTTCGAAGTCTGGACACTTGCGTTCACCCGACGACGGGTTCAACGACAGCATCGTCCGTCAGTGTGCGACCTCAGCGATCCTTCCATTAGCGGTTGGCTTCTACCACTGCCGTCAAACGTTTTGTTAATGACTGCCCGCAAACTAAATGTTGAGTCCCTGTCCAATGAAAACACCAAGTTGTGATGAGAGAAACAAGGTGTAGCCAGATTGTAAGCTATAAAAACACCATTTTCGTTTCCTCGTCTGTTTACAATGCCCGGATGTCAGGCTCCTCTGTTTCAATATTGGCGCCGAAGTTTGGTCAAAGCGAGTCTTGACGTTTTGACGAGAGAACCAGATTGGTCGCGAAACAACTTCTGTTGGACACCTGGCAGGCGATGCTGGCGACCACTGTCGCCTGCCAAGTTAGGTTCGGTATCCAAAGTGGGATAATTCCCCGCCAGGACACCATCAGACTCGCAAAATCGGTCTGGTGGGGCAACTTTGATGGTGTCCCAACTCAGGACTGCGATCTAACACTCTGATGGGAGACGGGCTCAGGGATCGTTTGGCGCGGTTGACCACGTTTGAGAGCGGCGCTCTTTCACCGCTTTAGACCATTGCGCACCAGAATGAAACTTTATAGAAAACGGCCTTACAAAATGTTCGTCTAAGTTGTTTTTTGATTCGTCGGAAACTCGTGAATCGTGATTCGTGAGACTGCTTTTGTTTCCCGATCCCAGAAAGAGGTTGGCCATTCGCGACACCTCACACCATCCGTCATTCGATCACTGAGATAAGTGGTCGAAAAGTAGCCAATGGTTGGGGATGTTTAACTTCTAAGTACACCTAACCACCGCTATTTTCTTTCGGTCTATTTTCAACCCCACTTGCGCAAGTGGGTATGCACCCTTTCTGGAATCTTTGACCGAGGGTTGTGTGGGCGTCAGAAATTTCACACTTATTTCACAGTGAGTTAGTTCCAGACCCCCAAAAAGAGTAGAAGTAGCACAAGGGAATTTGCAACAGCAAGAGTGCCCCTTCACACGAGCGGTAATTGTCTCAGCTTAGCTTTCATGCGTTTCTTAACATTGAAAATCGGGGTGCTTCATAGCCCATGTTGATCAAGTGCCCAACTGAAATAGTCGAATGCGTGCAGGGTGTCTTCGAAACGCGGGAACAGTGCAAGGGCTCGGGATTGAAAATAGCGGTGGTTAGGTGTATTGTAGCTTGGAACTTGGTTGTCCCAGGCAATTCTGTGGCGAGAAGTTTGTCTTTTCCGAGATTCCATTTTTTTTCATCCAATAAGGGTCTCGTTACGCACACTCCATATTTGTCCTGCTACTGTTCCTAAGAAGTTGCACCCCGCCTACTATACAGAAAATAGGGTACACATGATGCTCACCCACTACACGCGAAATTGTCATGCACAAATTGGAATCCCCGCACCCGTAGGTTTTCTGCCCTGATGTTCCACCCACGGTACAGGCACCTTCGACTGCTTGCCCGAGTTGCCAGGATACAACCAACAATGAATGCAAGCGATAAAACAAACAACGCAGACCCTGTTGACCTCCTTTTCAAGGCCAGAAACAGCGGGGTCGAAGTGTGTGTACGAAATGCCCCGACTTTGGTTTCCACATTCACGCACGCAGCTCAGACACGTAAGCAGTTTCATGGTGTGCCTAACATACCCAGGGCAAATTCAACACGCCAGCTGTACCTTGCCAATGTCCGATACAGACACCATTTCGTCCTCACGATGTGCAGCATTGACACGTCACATCGACTGGCTCTGGTTACCGGGTATCCTTTGGCCCTAAACCAGAACCAGATGCAAATGGTCATATGCACGTTTGGGCTCAACATTTTGTGATGTGCGCCCAAATCCAACCCTCATGGACACGGCGCAACACTCGAATAAGAAGGCACGTAATTCCACTCGTAATTCATAGTCTCCTCATCCCCTTCTCTGCACCATGCCGCGCCTTTACCACCGTACGCAGCTCGGCCTGCCGATCAAGAGGGCAATCTGCGAGCACCATGTCGCAAACCCTCAGCTGCGCCATGTCGACATTGCGCGCTGGTGCTTCACCCGGTTAGGGATTCGTCCCGACCGCAGCACTATTGGTCGCGTACTCAAGGGCGCCGACCGTTGGGTGCGCCCTGATGCCGCCGCCGACAACATTCGCGTCCGCGGCGGAGCCTACCCGGTGCTTGAGCGCGCCATGGTCCGGTGGATCGCCAATGCCGGACCGGCGGGAGTCCCACTCACTCTCGCCACTATCCGCGACCACGTCGCGAACATGGCTCGTGCGAATGGTGTATCGCCTACCTTTCCCTGCTCCATCGGCTGGGTGTGTCGCGCCTTGCGCCGTCAAGGCGCCCGCTGCATGAGCACGGTCGGGAAGCCGCCGACCAGGACATGAATGCCGTCCGAACGACGAAGGAGAAGTTGCCGCAGCTTTTAATGCACCTGGCCGTCACCCCTAGCAACACGTTCAACTTCGATGAGGCGGCCTTGTACATCTTGATTCTGCCATGGAAAACGTACGGAAGCGTTTGTACGGCGGGGCGTAAGATTGCCAATCAGCGTTTGACCATAGGCCTCCTTGTCAACGCTGATGGCTCACGCTGTTTCCGGCCTTTGGTCATTACCGCACGAAGTCTAAGCGACCGCACGATTTCCGATCCGATTACAACCCCGAGGAGTACTGCTACTAGCGTCACAACGCCAAGGGGTGGATGACGAGCTCGGTGAGTTTCCAAAGCACCGTGCCGCCGTCTTCACTATTGTGTCATACCGCGGCTGGGTGAGGCTTTTGGGTTTGTGTAACATGTGTGGTGTTTGACCCGGTTGTTTATGTTTATGTTTCTTGTTCTTCCACCATCCCGCGGCTCCCAGCCGCACGTGTGGGCTTTGTCTCTCCCACACGTGGAAGCCGGCGCCGGCAACAACTGCGGCGCAGGGGCGCGGCGGCGAATGCATCAGACATTGGCCTCGACGAGGAGGTCAACGATGTCGGCCTCCTCATCGACCGCCTCTGCCTCGGCCCCACCGCAATGGCCGCCGAAGCTTTTGTGGGCATCGACGACAACCAGCCCACGTGCGCCAAACTAGGCGAGAACCCGCTTGTGAGGGAGCCGGAGGGCGGCGGTGCGGCCGAAATGTGGGAGGCGCCTGCTAACATGCAGGCGGTTTATGACGACAGCAACCCCGCATCTCGCGAAGCACGGCGCACTGCGCGCGCCGCGTGCGAGATGCTTATTGGTTACGCACGGGCAACCTGCATCACGCCGCGCGATCTGTGCGTTCTCTTTGACATCCGCAATCCAATAATCTTTCCGCGGATGGAGTGCGCAAGCCCGCCGCTTGATCTCAACCACGCCCCACCTCCCGCCGTGATTCACGGCGACACGCCGCCGCCCGAGACTCCTCGTCGCCGCGGTCGGGTGCTCACAGCATGGATGCATGTGCCCACCCCAGACTGGGTGGCGCAGACGGCCCGCCGCCAGGAGCTCATCGACGCCGGTGCACCCGCCGTCATGAGCGATTACCTGGCTGCCGCAGAGTGGATGCGACTGTGAGTGGGGATTTGGACCCTGAGGAGGCATTCATTGCCTCCTCGACTGCATCAGGTGTACTTCTTGTGTTGGAAGTTGGGTTTGGCACAGGTGGTGCTGCTTTATTGGGTGGTTGTTTGGGCTCTCTGTTTGTAACAAACAAGACTGTGAACTGTAATAGGGAGTGTTTGAAGTGATCGAAAAATCTGGTAACCCCGTCTATGAGTGCACAACAAACTAGGCCGGCCCACACTGTTTAGAGAAAAGACAAGCGTGTTACAACGCATGCATCTTATAGTCACCTCATGTCCCTGGCTAACCCCAGCGAAGTCGCCGAAATGCAAAAGTCGGTTATAAGCCCAAATCACAAAGGGACCTTGGAGAACTAAAACGCGCATCAGGTGAACATGGCAGCTCTGTACACGAGAATTGGTTTGAGCGGTCCATCCAAGCGGCCCTCGAGGGTCAAGCAGAAGATTCTTTTGTTCCAGGCTTATGGTACAGAGAAACTGTAGCACGGGTGTAGCCTGGATGGAGGGCACCTCGTTCTCGAAACAGTTGAAAGAACACTACACGACGAAGCAGCCGCCTGCTCGCAGTTAGTGTTTCGGACCATTCAATTTGACAGCGCACCACGGGGATGCACGCGGTACAGTTTGACACAGCACATTGACTCGGCGAAGGAGTTGAGGTGTGAAACAGAGTCAACAAAACAAATACAAGCGCCTCGGCTCACGAAATTCACAATAACGAAGGAGTTTATTGTGGAAGAATGTGATGAACAAAACGATACCTAAACGAAGGGATATGCCACATGAATTTACCCCCATTTCCAAGTCATAGTGGTTTTGCTGAAGTGTGAACCTGAATTGAAAAGTTGGAAGGCCAGCTGCACAAAGAATGGTGAACTGACTTGGGTGCTTCTTATCTGGACGCGTGAAGAAAGAAGTTGCAAAATAATAAACATCGTGCTGCTATCAAATTCAACCACTCTGATAACCTAATGAACGCATCCGGTGCTTTCGACTCTTCACAACATGTATGTGTACATATGAGACAGTGGATGGTCCGCTGAAAAGCCCTCCTCGACCTGAAACAAGCACTCCCTCCCCCCTCTCCTCGTCCCCATGCATTCACGGCCACTTTTCCCCATTCACAATTTTATCCAGAATAAAGCTCGTTCGGATCGCACTCTCTCCCACACTTGGGCACTCCCCATGTCCTCTAAGAGCCGACACTACTGTCGCCAGCAATGGCTGTTGCACGTGCTCTGGGCTCGGGTCATCCCACTCATAGTGCGCTGTGTCATTCCAAAGCTCCACCTTATTGGACAGGAAAAACTGGAACTTTATTCTGCCCGAGCTGCCCGTGATCTCGCCGTACTCCTGCTGGCTTGACTTGCCTGCTGCGAAATTCCAGCTGCCCGTGCCAACGACTCCATTGGCGAATCGGAAGTGGGCTGTGACTGTATCAGGGGATGGGTACAGGCCGGCAAGATTGGTGGACCAACCAGAGACTGCCACCTGTACAGGAGCCGGAAGGGAGGGATGATTGGAGAGAAGAAAGTTGGTAACATGTGGTGCAGCACAGGAGAGCAGTTCACCTTGTATTCCCATGTGAGACTTCACAAGAGCGATGCTGCTTTGACGTTGTACTGGGTGTTTGAGACTCATGCACATTGAGGACTCATGGTCACCACCACAGGTCCTTCCTCACTCACTCACTACACCCCCACACTTCCACCTGCAGCACTCACCGCGGGGGTGAATTAGAAGTCAAGCAGGTCGAGCTGGTGGCTGCCCTTGTATGTTGAGCTGAGCGGTGGTTCTAACCCACGCTTATAGCGAGGCTAGACCCACACACTTGCTATGGGTGCACACCCGCTCAATCCTTCCACCTGCACTCACCACGGGGCCGAACCAGAAGTCGAGCAGGTCGAGCTGGTGGCTGCCTTTGTCTGTTGAGCTGAGTGGTGGTTCTAACCCACGCTTATAGCGAGGCTAGACCCGCACACTCGCTATGGGTGCACACCCGCTCAATCCTCCCACCTGCACTCACCACGGGGCCGAACCAGAAGTCGAGCAGGTCCAACTGGTGGCTGCCCTTGTCCCAGAAGTACCCACCCAGGCCACTCACAAGGGGGTCCACATGCCACTTGAGAGTCGCGTTGTGCAGAGACGCCCCTGGTGGGTTTTGAGTCGACTCAAAGGCGCACTCACCCAACTCCCCCTCCTCACACGCACTCACCACAGGGCCGAACCAGAAGTCGAGCAGGTCCAGCTGGTGGCTGCCCTTGTCCCGAAAGTACCCACCAAGCCCGCCCACCAGGGGGTCCACACGCCACTTGAGAGTGGCGTTGTGCAGAGACGCCCCTGGTGGGTGGTGCTGGGGTAACGGGCGGTACGGGTACCGCCTCTGCTGTTGCTCCCTTGCTCCGCTCCCCTCCTCGTTCCCTCCCCTTCCCTCCTGCTGCTGTTGCTGCAGCATCGTCTGCAGCTCCTTCTGACTCGGGACTCCGCTGAGCGCCCACTGGTAGTCGTACTTGTTGGGTGGCCGGTGGTATACCACCTGCACGGACAGGACGTCCCCTATGGCCCCAGATTCCAATAGGGCCTTGATCTGCAGAGAGGGGGGTGGCAGGGTTGGGTGGGTTGGGAGGGTGGGCCTTGTTGGGTGGCCGGTGGTATACCACCTGCACGGACGGGATGTCCCCTATGGCACCGGAATCCAACAGGCACACGCTAAGGAAGTTGGGCAGCGCACGGCATTAGTAAGGTGTGTCTGTAATTCGCTCAGGGTGACAAAAACAGGGCGGCTCTCTTTGTGATATACTTGGGGCGCATGTCAGTCAGGCACAAAGAGGGCGCATTTCAGTCAGGGCGGATTTGGGACACACCCGGAGGAAGTTGGGCAGGGCGCGGCGGTAGTAGGCGACAAAGAGAGGCAGCTTGGCAGTGCGCAGTGAATGAATCGGGGCATGCTCTAGCCACACCCTAAGGAGTTCTCCATACAGTGGATACACTCTAAGCACACACCCTGAGGAAGTTGGGCAGGGTGCGGCGGTAGTAGGCGACAAAGAGAGGCAGCTTGGCGCGCTGGAAGGCAGCGAGGATGTCAGAGCTGTCCACGTGGCTCATTCCCATTGGCTTCTCCACGTAGGCTGGCTTCCCTGCCCGCGCTGCCATGATGGCATATCTGCACCCACGCCACGTGGCAGGCACAGAGCGGGCGAAATGTATGGCAAGTCATGGCAGGGAAGAATGCGAGAAATAGCGCGAGGTTGGTGCATGAGGTTTGTGCATGAGGTTGGTGCATGAGGTTGGTGCATGAGGTTTGTGTTTTCATTACTTGCTGACTCAGCACATTCTGCCGACTCAGCACATTCTGCCGACTCAGCACATTCTGCCGACTCAGCACATTCTGCCGACTCAGCACATTCTGCCGACTCAGCACATTCTGCCAACTCAGCACATTCTGCCGACTCACTGCTTGTGGTATCGGTGGGGAGTGGCGATGTACACAGCGTTCACATCGGCGTCGTTGATTGTCTCCTCTGCGTTCGTTGACCACCTGCCATGTGCAAGCGGCCAGGCACAAATGAACCCCACTCAGCCAGAGCAATGCCGACCGAGAGTAAGCGGCGCTGCAGCGTTGCCAAATCGGTTGGAGCGCTGCAACCCCCCACTCTTGCCCGCCCACCCCTTGCCCGCCCCCACCTGGGCACGTGGTGGCGCTGCGCGTAGTCCTGAGCTAGGGTGGCGTTGCGGCGCATGACAGCCACGAGGCGAGACGAGGGGATGAGGGCGAGCGCCAACCCCCACCTGCCCACCTGCCCACCTGCCCACCCCCACCCCCACCTGCACCCACCTACAGGAGTGCAAGAGAGCACCTACTATTCCCCACCTGGGCACGTGGTGGCGCTGCGCGTAGTCCTGAGCCAGGGTGGCGTTGCGGCGCATGACAGCCACGAGGCGAGACGACGGGATGAGGGCGAGCGCCGGGCCGGACTTCTTCTCTGTCACATCGCCACACCCGATGATGGCCCACCGCACCTGGAGGGGAGAGAGAAGAAAGGCGGGTGGAATGGGCAGCGGTGGGAATGGTTGGAATGAGGTGAGTCGTGGGAAGAAGGCGGGTGCAAGGGAGGGGACGGGGGAGAGGGCCGGGCCGGATTTCTTCTCTGTCACATCGCCGCACCTGTTGATAGCCCACCGAACCAGGAGGGAGGGGAATTGGCCGTGGTGGGAGTGAGAAGCAGGGGAGGGATGCGGTTTGTAGAGAGCAGGGGTGGGTGTTAAGGGGGGAATGAGGGAATGGGCCTGGACCTGGAGGGAGCTCAGAGGCGGGAGTGAGTGTTTGAGAATTCTCAAAAACTCCCGGGAATGAGGGAATGGGCCTGGACCTGGAGGAAGCTCAGAGGCGGGAGTGAGTGTGACTGGGGTGGTGGTGGGTTGGCGGATCCGGTGATGGTTGTGGTGGGGTGTGACTGATGTCACCACCATCACCATCACCACCTCCAGTCAGATCCTGAACCTGATGGTTGTTCACCACCACCATCAACAATGGGGTTGTTGCGAGCTCATCTTACTGTCCTTGTGTACTCTTTCCCCTACGCGGTCCCACCATTTACCTCGCTGACAGGGTGGAAGTTCGCCAGCCTGTCATGGGCGGGAACGCTTGTCGGTAGCGACGGCGTGGGCGGCGAAGAGAGGAACAACCCTAGGAGCAGCAGCGCGAAAAGCGCGCCGATGATGAGCGGGAGGGGAGGGCGGGAGAGAAATGCGGGAAAGCGCGGAGCTGACGTGGCAACTGACCGCGGCATTGTCAGAAACTCTCGTTCGATCTAATCCACTGGTACAAATTTGGCGGGATATTTGTGATCCGCGTCACCGGCGAAAGCGAGGTCACATTGTTCAGCAAACCTAGAGCAAACGTCGTCGGTAGCCTAGCGAGTCATGGCAATGCGGCTCGCCGGCGACAGTCTCTATTGACTGCTCCCACACCATATGCATCGAACGGAATCTCCCAAGCCGCAGGTGTATCCGGTGTTGGAACTACAAATTGTGCATTTGTTGTAATGTTCTACAGTTCCATAAAATTATACGGACCTGAGATGTAATATTTTACTGTATGCTACTATCGAAATAGCAGAAGGGTACAGCATAACCTACTGTAGCACAGGATGAGTTCGCGCCTTGGGCTTTGGCGCGAAAACTAAATGCGTCAGACAGACTCAACTCGGAGAAATCAAGGTTCTTGCTTCTATCTCAATTCCTCCCCAATCCACCTCACCATTGGACTTACCACTCTCAACAGCATTCTGAGACTCTGACGCAGTTCTCTTGCAGTTCTCTCGTCCAAGCACATTGCTTTCGTTCGTTCGAAGAGCTGCACGCATTAGGCTGCGAAAACAGTAGATTTTGCTAGTGAATAGATCACTGATGAATCGGCTCAAGAGCAAGCAGCGGATGAGTCTACGTTAATAAGCAACTCAGCGGTGGATCGTAGCATCACTGGTGAACCTACTTCAACCGATCTGTCCACCTTGATTTGTCTGTCTTCAGGCGCTGCAAGGTGTTCTCAGGGGTCGTTATCCGCCGTCAGGGCGTGTTTATCCAAGAGCTTAGCGCTTACCTTCCCACGAACGTGAGGTCCCAGGGGTCTCAGGACTTCCGGGCGTGCCGTCAGGGCGTGGTTCTCCATGAGCTTAGCGCTTAACTTCCGCAGCTGCTGCTTAAGTTTTACCCGGCTTCCCACGTTACGCCGTGCATCTCAGCTGTCATCCCCGCCGGACCGTCGTCGCAGTTACTCGTTCGGGTCTCATCCGACCTGAAGGAGCCACAGCTCTCCACCGCGCAGCACCTCTCCAGGGATTGCCAGCCGTCCGCCGACTCCCTTCAGTTCGCAAGCCTCCAGCTGCTCACCACTCACCAGTCGATAATCACCAGCTAGCCGTCAACAAACGGCTAACCGGCAGCCAGCTGCCAGCTACGATGAAGTCAGGTCGGGGAGGTAGCGGTGCCAAGAAGCCTGGCGTTTCCGCTGCTGCTGACGGCCGCGGTCAACGGTCCATTGCCTCGTTCTTCGGAGGCAAGGACCAATCAGGAACCGCGGGGAAGGCTTTACCTGGGGGCGGCCAGAGGTCCATCTCCTCGTTTTTCGGTGCAAAAGGGAAGGCTGCTGCTGTTGGTGGTGGTGGTGGTGGAGGTAAATCCGAGGTCGAGGGTTCGAATCCCAGTGCAGTGGATAAAGCAAGCGAGGAGTTGAAGGAGACGGCATTGAAGAAGAAAGAGCCTTTAGAGTCAGCAGCAGCAGCAGCAGATTCTCCAGTACCCACACAGACTGCTAAAGGGGCTGTTGAAAACGGGGATGGAGCAGTGGCATCTGCAGGGAAAGAAGACTCCCGCGCTGAGCAGGCAGTGGCGGAGGAAGCTTGGGGGGAAGAGATGGCGGACGCGGAAGCAGTAGGGGGAAGGGAAGGCGGAGGGGGAAGCGCAGGAGGAGGAGCAGGGGAAGCAGTGACTGGCGGAGCTGGCGCGAGGCGGTTGAAGCGGCTTAGGAAGGTTGGGGAGGGGGCGCGGGGAGCGGGGAAAGGAAGAGAGGAAGGGGCAGGTGAAGGAGAAGAGATTGTGGCGGTGGGTGGAGGGACAGGGGAGGTGGGAGAAGGTGCAAAGAAGGCAAGGCATGAGACGGGGAGTATCGGGGTTGAAGGAGGCGATAAGGGGAAGGAATCCGCTGCTGCAGCTGCCGCCGCCACCGTTGCTGCTGCTGCTTCTGCTGCCGCTGCCAAAGCTTCTGCGTCTGCTGTCGCTGCTGCTGCTGCTGCGGCTGGTAAAGGGGCTTCCACTCCTGCCGTCACACCGAAGTCGCCACCTGGTGCCAGAGGAAGGAAGAAAGCAGCAGATACAGCTAGTAAAGCAGCAGATACAGCTAGTAAAGCAGCAACTGACGCACCTGCTGCTGCTGCTGTGGCCACGGCTGAGTTAGCAGCTGAGGGAGGGAAGAAAAAGAGCACTCGTCGCAGGACCAGCAGCAGAAGCAGCAGCAGCAGCAGCAGTGACAGCAGCGGCAGTAGTGGCAGCAAGGGTGCGGCATTATCCGCCAGTAGCAGCAGCACCAGTGACGGTGCTGACGTGGACAGTGACATGGACAGTGCCAGCAGTGACCTGGCAGAGCCACCTGTCGACGCAGCCGCAGGAGCGGAGGAAGCAAAATCCGCCTTTGACGCCCTAAAGCAAGCTAAGGGACGCACGGAAACGAAAGCCAAGAGAAAAAACAGGGGAAAAGGGGCCGGGGCAGGAGGCGCAGGAGGAGGAGGAGCAGGCGATGGGTTGGTGGCGCTGGCAGCGAAGCTGGTGCAGTATGATCCGGTGGCAGCTGCCACTTGGAAGAGCGGCGAGCGGGTGCCCTTCCTCTACCTCGCCCAGGCGCTTGACAGTACGTTGGTTTGGGCTTTGGGCTGTGCGTGGTGGGCTGTGGGCACGTAAGTGTAGAGTCTATGCACGGTGAACAATGAGGGTGATGGGTCATACATTGTTGTGGAAATCAGGGTATGGGTTTTGGGTTGAAATGGTGTGAGGACAGAAAGGCTATAGGTTTAGCGTGGTGGGTTGAGCCTCTTTTCTTGACTCACCTGTCGACTTCCATGCTCCTCTATCCGCCGCTGTATGTACGAATTACGAGGATTATTCAACGAATCTGGACATTGTGTGCAACATGCTCTGCACAGTAATCGGCGTATTTTGTGATTCTACAACAATACACCTCCAACCCGCCTGCGTGTGCCAGGAATATCCAACGAATCTGGACGGCTGGCGATCACGGAGATCATGTGCAACGTGTTCCGCACAGTCATGGCCACGTCACCAGACGACCTGCTGCCCATCGTGTACCTGGCGGCCAATCGCGTCGCGCCACCTCACGAGGGCGTGGAGCTGGGGATTGGCGATGCGACCATCATCCGCGCTCTGGCTGAGGCGACCGGGAGGAAGGAGGCGGTGGTTAAGTCGGAGTACAAGGTACGCGATCAAATCCAGAGTAAAAGGTAGGTACGACGAGAACAGCCAAACTGTTGTGCTACAAGGGGCTGGGGGTTGGCGATGTGACCATCATCCGTGCTCTGGCTGAGGCGACTGGGAGGAAGGAGGCGGTGGTTAAGTCGAAGTATAAGAGCGTGGAAGATCCCTGTGAACAAGGCATTGGTCGCGCAGTTGCGACAGTAACACAGGTTGCGACTCTCGCCAATAAGCATCGCTAATAGAGTGACGAAAATTGCTACAAGCACTCACGTTTCAGAGCCCGTGCCCCCTTGTTGCCCCACGTTTTTGCTTTTGAGTCGACTCAAAAGCGTTTCAGAGCCCGTGCCCCCTTGTTGCCCCACGTTTTTGCTTTTGAGTCGACTCAAAAGCGTTTCAGAGCCCGTGCCCCCTTGTTGCCCCACGTTTTTGCTTTTGAGTCGACTCAAAAGCGTTTCAGAGCCCGTGCCCCCTTGTTGCCCCACGTTTTTGCTTTTGAGTCGACTCAAAAGCGTTTCAGAGCCCGTGCCCCCTTGTTGCCCCACGTTTTTGCTTTTGAGTCGACTCAAAAGCGTTTCAGAGCCCGTGCCCCCTTGTTGCCCCACGTTTTTGCTTTTGAGTCGACTCAAAAGCGTTTCAGAGCCCGTGCCCCCTTGTTGCCCCACGTTTTTGCTTTTGAGTCGACTCAAAAGCGTTTCAGAGCCCGTGCCCCCTTGTTGCCCCACGTTTTTGCTTTTGAGTCGACTCAAAAGCGTTTCAGAGCCCGTGCCCCCTTGTTGCCCCACGTTTTTGCTTTTGAGTCGACTCAAAAGCGTTTCAGAGCCCGTGCCCCCTTGTTGCCCCACGTTTTTGCTTTTGAGTCGACTCAAAAGCGTTTCAGAGCCCGTGCCCCCTTGTTGCCCCACGTTTTTGCTTTTGAGTCGACTCAAAAGCGTTTCAGAGCCCGTGCCCCCTTGTTGCCCCACGTTTTTGCTTTTGAGTCGACTCAAAAGCGTTTCAGAGCCCGTGCCCCCTTGTTGCCCCACGTTTTTGCTTTTGAGTCGACTCAAAAGCGTTTCAGAGCCCGTGCCCCCTTGTTGCCCCACGTTTTTGCTTTTGAGTCGACTCAAAAGCGTTTCAGAGCCCGTGCCCCCTTGTTGCCCCACGTTTTTGCTTTTGAGTCGACTCAAAAGCGTTTCAGAGCCCGTGCCCCCTTGTTGCCCCACGTTTTTGCTTTTGAGTCGACTCAAAAGCGTTTCAGAGCCCGTGCCCCCTTGTTGCCCCACGTTTTTGCTTTTGAGTCGACTCAAAAGCGTTTCAGAGCCCGTGCCCCCTTGTTGCCCCACGTTTTTGCTTTTGAGAATTCTCAAAAGCGACTCAGATTTATGGAGGGGTTCGGCGATGTGACTATCTTCCATGCCATGCTCTGGCTGAGGTGATTAGAAGGAAAGAGGCGGTGGTGAAATCAGAGTGCAAGGTTGGTACGATGAGAACGAATGAACTGGTGACGCCACTGTTTGTTGCGCTCTGGCCGAGGTGACGGGGAGGAAAGAGGCAGTGGTTAAGTCGGAGCATAAGGAAAGTGAGACGGGACTGCGTGATCTGTGATATAAGCAAGAGGCCGGAGATCGTACGTGCTCTCTTATGAGTCGACTCAAAAGTCACCTCAGTACAAGTAAAGTGAGACGGGACTGCGTGAAATGTGATACAAGCAAGAGGCCGGAGATCGTACGTGCTCTCTGGCTGAGGCCGTGAAGAGGTAAGAGGTGGTGGTGGAATCGGCGTAGACGTTATGTGAGATGGGAATGAATGAACTGTGGTGCAAGGGGGTGGAGAGAGGGACTGTAAGAAATGTGCTGGTTCATGGATAGAAGCATGGTTGTGTCACAGTAGTGTAGCCACATTGCCGTCATGCCTCTTACATGGCTTTATCCTTAATACGTAACGGAAATTTCGAGATGTCACAGCTCCCTGTGTACCTTGACATTCAAACCTTTGAGCCTTGTAGTCTGAGATTTTCAATCCCTAGTTTTTTTTTTTTTTTTTTTTTTTTTTTTTTTTTTTTTTTTTATCCTACTTGTTTCTGCAGGAGTGTGGCGACCTGGGGCTGGTGGCGAAGGCCAGCCGCACCATGCAGCGCATGATGATGCAGCCGGCGCCACTCACGTGCCACAAGGTCTTTGAAGCCTTCCGATTCATCGCCAAGGTGAGTAAATCTGGCTACTCGTGGTGAGTGAACCTTACGGTTTATCACCCCCGCATTCCCCCAACGCCTCCGGCCCATACGTCTCCTTCTGTGTGACCGTGTCTGTGTGCGTTGCCTTCCCTGCCTCTACCACCCCCTAACTTCCCTCCCTCAGGAGTCAGGCAGTCAGAGTGTGGAGAAGAAGCGGGCGCGGATAAAGCAGCTGCTGGTGTCGGCGCGGCAGCAGGAGCCGCAGTTCATAGTGCGCCTGCTGCAGGGCAAGATGCGCATCGGCCTCGCAGAACAGACGGTGCTCGCCGCCCTGGCTCAGGCTGCTGTCATGCACGAGGACTTCCGAGAGGGCACCGGTGTTGCTGCTGGTGATGCTGCCGCTGCTGCTGCTGGTGCTGCTGGTGCTGGTGGTGGTGGTGCGGGTGGTGACGATAAGGATGGGGGCAATAAGGAGGGTGGGGATGGGGCTGCTGCGGCAGTTGGGAGAGGAGGGGATGGGGGGACGGAGGGAGAGGTTGAGGAAAAATGGCCGGGGAAGGAGAGTCAAGGAGGAAAGGTGCTTTCAAAGAGGGAAAAACTGGCTCGACTGCCGGGAAGACTAGAAGAGGTGAGTGTCAGTTAGCCGTGCCAGTTCACCTTGGGAGTGCCGATGGGGCCCATGCTGGCCCGCTCAACCCACACATCCCGCACTCCCCCCGACCGCCCCATTCCCCAATCTCCCACTTTACTCCCGATTTCCCCATCCCCCACTCATCCCCGCCCTTTCCCCCGACCCCCAGGCAGTGCGCATCATGAAGCATGCGTACTCAGTCCTCCCAGTTTACGACCAAGTTGTTCCATCCCTATTAAGAGACGGCATATGGGCCGTTCCCGAGGCGTGTCAGTTCACCTTGGGAGTGCCGGTGGGGCCCATGCTGGCGAAGCCCACACGGGGGATATCGGAGATTCTGGACAAGCTGCAGGGGTTGACGTTCACGTGCGAGTATAAGTACGATGGGGAGAGGACGCAGGTGAGATGAGGGCGATGATTGGGATGGGAGTATGCATATTGCATGTGAGTGGGTGTGCTTGGGCAAGCTGCAGGGGTTGACGTTCACGTGCGAGTATAAGTACGATGGGGAGAGGACGCAGGTGAGATGAGGGCGATGATTGGGATGGGAGTATGCATATTGCATGTGAGTGGGTGTGCTTGGGCAAGCTGCAGGGGTTGACGTTCACGTGCGAGTATAAGTACGATGGGGAGCGCACACAGGTGAGTGAACGTGAGACACGAGGACGGTGCGTTTAGGCGCGTGGAATTCTAGTAAAGATGCGAAGAGGGGGCTCCAGGGGCGTATTGGAGATATTGGACTAGCTGCAGGCGCTTACGTTCACATGCGAGTTGGAGTACGATGGAGTGAGAACACAGGTGAGAGTGAGCTGCTGGGGTCCTGTTCTCATGGTAGTAAAATCTGGATGGGAGGGGTCTCATACAAATTTCCATCTCCCTTGCCGCCCACCCATGCCCGATGCGAACGTCACCCCATGGCCCAGCCCATGCCAACCAACATCAATGCTCTCATGCCCCACGTCCCTGGCAGGTGCATGGGCTAGCGGACGGTACAGTGCAGATCTACAGCCGCAATGCGGAGTGCACCACGGGCAAGTTCCCCGACCTCGTACAGGCTGTTCAGAAGTAAGTCGGTCAAGCACGCAGTCAGTAAGGGTGTGTGTGTGTGCGTGTGTGCGTGTGTGTGCGCGTGTGTGTGTGTGTGTGTGTGTGTGCGTGTGTGTGTGTGTGTGTGTGTGTGTTTGTGTGTTTCTCTTTCTCTGTCGGAGCACGAAAGAAACGGTACAGCTCGTAATCAGTTGGGTGTTGAGAGGTTCCAAGAAGGTTAACTAATCGCCCTCTCGTGCAGGTGATCACGTCTCAAACCCCTCTTCTCCCCCGTTTCCCCTCTCCCTTACTGGCATGCGCAAGAAGGTTTACGTGAAGACCTTTGTGCTGGATGTAGAGGCAGTGGCGTACGACAGGGAGAGCGACAGGGTGGCTGTGGCGTACGGCAGGGAGTCGCAGTGACTCTTGAGTTGACTGGAAACTCGCCCCGCACTTGCTCCCTAACTCACAGGCACAACAAGGCCCAAGTGGAGATGTTTGTGCTGGACGCAGTATAGAGGCGTCTCAAAACCCTCCCCTTCACCAAGTCCCTTCCTCCCCACGGCCCCTCCCACACTCGCAGGCACAAGAAGGCCCATGTGCACAAGTTTGTGCTGGGTGCAGAGGCAGTGGCATACAACAGGGATAGACCAGTCACCTCGCATTCCCGCACTCGCAGGCACAAGAAAGACCACGTTAAGACATTTGTGTTGGATGCGGAGGCAGTGGCACATGACAGGGAGAGCGACAAGATCCTGCCCTTCCAGGTGCTCACGTCTGAGAACCCGAAATTCGCTCTCCCCGAATTCCCCTCTCCCCCATGTGCAGGCACAAGAAGGCCCGCGTTTGTGTTGGACGCAGTTTGTCGCATGGAGACGTCAAAGACCCCCGCCCTCATTCCCCTCTCCTTACTTGCAGGCACAAGAAGGCCCATTTAGAGACGTTCGTGTTGGATGCAGTTTGTCCCATGGAGACGTCAAAGACCCCCGCCCTCATTCCCCTCTCCTTACTTGCAGGCACAAGAAGGCCCATTTAGAGACGTTCGTGTTGGATGCAGAGGGCAGTGGCGTATGACAGGAGGAGAGACAAGATTCTGCCGTTCCGGTTGCTTGGTTCTCCTCTGTTTCCCCTCTTCCTTACTTGCAGGCACAAGAAAAGTCACGTGCAGACGTTTGTATTGGATGCAGAGGCAGTGGCGTATGACAGGGAGAGCGACAAAATTCTGCCCTTCCAGGTGCTCAGCACGCGGGCGCGGAAGGGCGTCATCATGAGCGACATTAAAGTGCAGGTGGGTGGGTGCGATGTGTGTGTGTGTGTGTGTGTGTGTGTGTGTGTGTGTGTGTGTGTGTGTGTGTGTGTGTGTGTGTGTGTGCTCCGATTATACCTGCTCAAATGATCTTTCTGTTCTTGGCCGCACTCACTCTGCTCCCTCCCCTCTTCCCCTCCCCATCTTCTCCCACACCAGGTGTGCATGTTCGCATTTGATCTGCTCTACCTCAACGATGACCAGCTAAAGAGGCATTTCTGAGGCATCTCAGTCCTCCTCTTCTTCTCCCCCTCCCCATCTTCTCCCACACCAGGTGTGCATGTTCGCATTTGATCTACTCTACCTCAACGGCCAGCAGCTGCTCACAGAGAAGCTCGTGCGGCGGAGAGAGGTGAGGCACGGCAGAGAGGTGAGGCACGGCAGAGAGGTGAGGCACGGCAGAGAGGTGAGGCACAACAGAGAGGTGAGGCACGGCAGAGAGGTGAGGCACAACAGAGAGGTGAGGCACAACAGAGAGGTGAGGCACAACAGAGAGGTGAGGCACAACAGAGAGGTGAGGCACAACAGAGAGGTGAGGCACAACAGAGAGGTGAGGCACGGCAGGACAGGATGACTTTTGAGTCGACTCAAAAGTCATCTCGCCAGCAGCTGCTCACAGAGAAGCTCGTGCGGCGGAGAGAGGTGAGGCACGACACGGCAGGGCACGGCAGGGCAGGGTAGTCCAGGATTGCTGCTTTTGTTTCGTTTGGGTCCGTTACCGTTACTACGGCGTTCTCTCACTACTCGAGGCATTGCAACAACACGGCACTCGAGGCCTTTGTGAGCGAGTTTTGAGAGAATCTGAAGAAGCACTCCAGGCCTGAAGAATCTGAACAAAGATCGTGCTCCTCCTGACTCACCCTTCCTTCCTTCGCCGTGTTGCTTCAGCTGCTGCTGGAGTCGTTTGAGCCGGTCAAGGGCGAGTCTCAGTTTCGTTTGACTTGAGCAAGGTCGTTTGAAGCCCTTGAATGAAGCCTGCTCTCCGTGTTCTCCTGTTCTCGTGACGTCTCCTCGCTTCTCTCCCCCCCCGTGCACGGCAGCTTCTGCTGGAGTCGTTTGAGCCGGCCAAGGGCGAGTTCCAGTTCGCGACGGCCATCACGACCAGCAAGGAGGAGGAGCTGCAGGCGTTCTTTGACGACGCTGTCAACCACAGGTGGGGTGCTGCTGGGATTAGAGGGGTTTAAAGGGGAGAGGGCGGGACAGTGAAGCCGCTGGTTGTGGAGGCAGCTGAGCTGAGCTTGTACCCTCGATTTCGCAAGCCATAATTCTCAATCCACTCCCTTCCTCCCCCACCTCCCTTTCCCCTTCCTCTCCCTTTTTCCTCTTCCCGCTTTCCCCTGCTTCCATACGAGCTGTTCCTCCTTGTGCATGGCGACTTGTCTCCGTGCCGCTTACCTCCCCCTCCCCCTTCCCGCTCCCCTTTCTCTTCCCCTGTTGCAGCTGCGAGGGCGCCATGGTGAAGACCCTGGACGTGGATGCCACATACGAGCCGGCCAAGAGGAGCAACAACTGGCTCAAGCTCAAGAAGGACTACATGGAAGGGTGCGGTGGGGATGGGTCGTGTGTGTGGTGGTGTGGTGGGGATGGGTCGTGTGTGTGGTGGTGTGGTGGGGATGGGTCGTGCGTGTGGTGGTGTGGTGGGGATGGGTCGTGCGTGTGGTGGTGTGGTGGGGATGGGTCGTGCGTGTGGTGGTGCGGTGGGTAGGACTGTGAGTGCTTGTGTGTGGTGCGGTGGGTAAGACTGTGAGTGCTTGTGTGTGGTGCGGTGGGTAAGACTGTGAGTGCTTGTGTGTGGTGCGGTGGGTAGGACTGTGAGTGCTTGTGTGTGGTGCGGTGGGTAAGACTGTGAGTGCTTGTGTGTGGTGCGGTGGGTAGGAGTGTGAGTGCTTGTGTGTGGTGCTTGGTTGACGTATGAGCCGGCCAAGAGGAGCAAAGACTGGCTCGAGCTCAAGAAGGACTTCATGGAAGGGGGGGACGGGGCAGGGCAGGAAGCAAAGGACGGTTGGGGTGGGTCTTCCAGTGCTGATGATGAGGATGCGTGTAGCTCAAGAAAGGACTACGTGGAAGGGTGGGGCCTGGCTAGGTTGTGACTCTTCTCTCTCTGACTCTTCTTCCTCGCTCCGTTCTCACCCTCACTCTGACTCTTCTTCCTCGCTCCGTTCTCACCCTCACTCTGACTCTTCTTCCTCGCTCCGTTCTCACCCTCACTCTTCACCCTTCCGTTCTCACACTGACTCTTCTCCCTCACTCTGTTTTCACGCTCGCCCTTCTCCCTCACTCTGTTCACTCTGCTCCCTCACTCTCTTCACTCTGTTCTCTCTGCTCCCTCACTCTCTTCACTCTGTTCTCTCTGCTCCCTCACTCTGTTCACTCTGTTCTCTCTGCTCCCTCACTCTCTTCACTCTGTTCTCTCTGCTCCCTCACTCTCTTCACTCTGTTCTCTCTGCTCCCTCACTCTCTTCACTCTTTTCTCTCTGCTCCCTCACTCTCTTCACTCTGTTCTCTCGTCTCCCTCACTCTCGTCACTCTGTTCTCTCGTCGCCCTCACTCTCGTCACTCTGTTCTCTCGTCTCCCTCACTCTCGTCACTCTGTTCTCTCGTCTCCCTCACTCTCGTCACTCTGTTCTCTCTGCTCCCTCAATCTCTTCACTCTGTTCTCTCTTCTCCCAAACTCCCTCCCAATCAGGCTGGGCGACTCCTTGGACCTTGTGCTCATCGGGGCGTTCCACGAGGTGCCTCATGATCCCCCACTACCCTCACTCCCGTTTCACCCTGCTCCCCGCGCCCCCCCCCCCCCCGTCATGCCTCTGCTGCCTCCCAATCAGGCTGGGCGACTCCTTGGACCTTGTGCCAATCGGGGCGTTCCACGGCCGTGGCAAGCGAACAGGTGAGGGGAGGGGTGGAGAGTAGCGTAGGACACTGGGTCATGGGATGGGTTTGCAACTTTGCAGGTGACACATTGGGATGATGGAGGGTTGGGCCTGGAAGGCTTGCTGCTGAACGAAATCCACTGCTCTTGGGGCTGGAACAACGGTTTCTCTGTGCAACCCCTTTGTCTCTGTCTCACAGCAAAGCCGCATGTTAATGTGCAAAAAACCCTTGAAAGTCGTGCTATTTCTGCCGTGATTGCATTCAATTCAACAGGTGTGTTTGGCGCGTTCCTCCTGGCGTGCTACGACCCGGACATGGAGGAGTACCAGTCCATCTGCAAGACGACATTCAGATCCCGTTCCCTTGTTTAACCACATCCATCATGTCCTCTTCAACAGGTGTGTTTGGCGCGTTCCTCCTGGCGTGCTACGACCCGGACATGGAGGAGTACCAGTCCATCTGCAAGACGACATTCAGATCCCGTTCCCTTGTTTAACCACATCCATCATGTCCTCTTCAACAGGTGTGTTTGGCGCGTTCCTCCTGGCGTGCTACGACCCGGACACGGAGGAGTACCAGTCCATCTGCAAGACGACATTCAGATCCCGTTCCCTTGTTTAACCACATCCATCATGTCCTCTTCAACAGGTGTGTTTGGCCATCATGGCTCAAAAACCCCATAGAAGACCCAGCTGCTGGCCTGGAACCCGCCATTGCGTGCTGATTTTCTCTGATAATTGAACTTGACCGTTGCGACCCGGTGAATGCCTTTATCGACTGTGATGCACGGCAACGTACTGACAGGGTTTCTGTCTGATACGAGAGGCCAGTATGTGCTGGTGCGACTGTGACTGGCGTGACTGTAACAGGTGTAAAGGCGCGTATGGCCGGGAGATGATGCAATGGTGCGTTTGATTCGCGATCGCACAGCGCTATGCGGTGAGAAGCGGTTCTGACGACTGTGCGAGCTGTTGTGTGTATCGAATTGAACAAAACGGGTGGTTCTAAAGTGGTACGGACGGAGGCGCTGAATCGTGATACCATCTTTCACTAATCCCGAAGCAGGATTCGCTACAGCCACGTGCTGAGACTAACTAATGAGGGGTCATCTATCCTCGTACAAAGCTCCTAATATCGCCACGCAAACAGCTACTGAACCTGATCACCCCATGAAAGCTTCTCAGATCGGATTGACAAAGTTCGAGGTCGCTGGGATCGCCAGAAATTGTTTTTACTGGAGGACGAAGTTCAGTGTGATGGTTACAACATCGGACGTCTCTTCGCTTCAGCATTTGTTGACGCTCAGAAGCGTCGCGGTGAAGCTTCTCGAATCTCCAACAGCCAAAATCCACCGTCAAACCATTTCCCGCTAAATTTACAGGGTATGGAACGGAACTGAGCAGCCAGAATTCCAGAAACATGTGTGGCTGATGATCAGAAACGACAGTACTTTCAACTCCCCCAACATTCTCTGATCGCTGGTTATCCTTAGTCTTACCACCTCCGTTTAACTACTAGATCTGCGAGGTGGTTAATTACTAATCATCAACTAGAACTCGTCGATCGTCTGTGCGTCTCGTTCCGTTCCGATCCTGCGACCATGGCGAATCCGCGCGTGTACTTCGACGTGTCGATCGCGGGAGAGCCGGAGGGTCGCGTGGTGATGGAGCTCTTCAAAGACGCCGCGCCCAAGTCGGTGGAGAATTTCCGCGCGCTTTGCACGGGGGAGAAGGGGATTGGCGCAAGCACCGGCTTGCCGCTTCATTTCAAGGTGAGCCTTGGCCTCCACTATGATTCATTGTTCTTCGAATTTCACAAAAACTGCTTTGATCCGTTTCATTTCAATACGTGAAGGTCTCTCATCCATCGATAGATTTGTAACAATTAGCGTGATATTCCACTGCACGTTATGAGTAACTCTGGATTTATGACAATGGCGTTATAGCGTCTCATTGCACTCGAGTGGCCCGCCATTATACGCCTCTTCTCCCCCTCTCCCCTCTCACCTCTCTCCTCTCTCCTCTCTCCTCTCTCCTCTACCTCTCCCGTTTTAAACAATTCCAGGGCTGCCCCTTCCATCGAGTCATCAAGGGTTTCATGATGCAAGGGGGGGACTTTTCCAACAAGAACGGCACAGGAGGCGAATCAATTTACGGGGAGAAGTTCGAGGACGAGCCTGGGGGTCTTGCGCTCAAGGTATGATGCTTTCAATTCTTCGGAAGGATGATCATCTTCAGTCACCATTAGTTTTTCTTCTGAGTCGACTCAAAAGACAGCTCTTTCAATTCTTCGGAAGGATGATCATCTTCAGTCACCATGAGTTTTTCTTCTGGCTTTGGTTCCAAAAGCACTTATGCTTAAAGCATCAACTTAGAGGCGGTGGTTGAATCATATCAACGAGCTGGCTCGAAATTCAGCTTTTCACTCCATCCATCCTTCATCATCATTCCATTTCCTGATAAGGCGCCGCTTCTTATCAATGAGCTAAGCAAACCCACACCTTTCCCATCCTGACCGCACTCCACCGCAGCATGATAAGCGTGGGATTCTATCCATGGCGAACAGCGGGCCTGGCACGAACGGCAGTCAGTTCTTCATCACATATGGGCCCACGCCGCATCTCGATGGCAAGCACTGCGTGTTTGGGCGGGTGCTGAGAGGAGGACAGGTGAGGAACAAGGTTCAGAGTGATATTTGTTTGTGAAGGGTATGGACAAAGATGCTTTCAGGTTTACCTGACCTAATTCAGATTGACGTCAACTTTGACTTCACGTGAAGCTTCATCGGAAGCACTTCGATCTGGATCAAACGGCCATACAAGCAGGAGGGCAGGCTGGAGAATGACAGACTGAATTCGAACCACTGCACGCTTGCCAGTGGTTGGTTGTGTTCGTTGCACGAATGCAAAGACATCCGCAGTCGGAACTGCACAAAAGTCATTGTGATTGCCTCTTCGCTATGAACTAGAAAGCGAGCTAGTCCGCTTATCTCCGCTCTTTTCTATTTGATCAATCAGGTGCTTCGAGCGGTGGAGATCACACCCACGGACGGTTCAGATCGTCCGTTGAGCGATGTTGTTATCGACGACTGCGGCGAGCTGGCAGAGGGGGAGGACGACGGCACCATGAACCACCCTGTGAGTGGGAACTGAGAGAGAAGGGGGGAGGCGGAAGGATACGGCAGACTCTGTGATGCAATGTGAGGATCAATCTGCAGGCACGGCAAGTTGGTGGGGTGCCTCGTTTCCCCCGTGCCCTTGTACTCAGTACCAGCAGCCCCTTTTTCCTGTGTCTGTCCATCGGTGTGCACATGGCAGGATGGAGACAAATACCCCGACTGGCCCAGTGACTTGGATGAGAGGCCTACGGAGTGGCAGTGGTGGGTGGAAGCAGTCAAATCAATTAAGGACCTTGGCACCACGCACTTCAAGGTGAGAGGCGAAGCGTTCCAAGGTGAGAGCCGGAGCACTTGAAGGCAAGGTAAGCGACTGGTCACCCGTTTCAGGTGTGGAAAGGATGCGGCGTGATTTCTGATGAGGGGCTTAATATTCTGGGGCGACGCAGGTGGTCAGGCCTTTCAAAGCAGAATCTGAAGCTCTCTTGCACACATTGACTTCCCTCACATCCGCCCCCTGGGCAGAATGGTGACTACCGCATGGCATTCCGGCGATACCGCAAGGCCATGGTGTATTTGGACAAGGCATGGGACATGAAGGACATCCCAGGAGGTACGCTTGTGCTGTGTGCTGACATGAGCTGATGTCTCTAGCAGCCTGACTGCAAGGCCGTGGTGGTGTGCTCCCATTGCCCATCTCTTCTCTCATCGTACAATGGTCGCATCTCCTTGCCTTCACCAATTCATGCTTTCCGTTTCTTCCTGACTGCCCTCAGAGACCCTAGAGGAGCTCCACACCATACGAGACGCCCTTCTTAACAACTACGCGGTGAGGGGCGGGCAGTGGGGTGTGGGGTGTGGGGAGTGGGTTGTGTGAGGTGTAATGTCCCCTGTCCTCCTGACGGCCATCAAAGACCCTAGAGGAGCTCCACACCATACGAGATGCCCTTCTAAACAACTACGCGGTGAGGGGCGGGCAGTGGGGTGTGGGGTGTGGGGAGTGGGTTGTGTGAGGTGTAATGTCCCCTGTCCTCCTGACGGCCATCAGAGACCCTAGAGGAGCTCCACACCATACGAGATGCCCTTCTAAACAACTACGCGGTGAGGGGCGGGCAGTGGGGTGTTGTGAAGGTGAAGGGTGGTGAGGAGCTGTGGTGTTTGTGAGGGGAAGTGAGCTGTGCCACAATGTGGTGAGGGGCTATGGTGTATTGCTCCTCTCACTTTTTGTAAGGCTGAGTGTCTCTTTGTACCACTGATTGATTAAATATTTTCTCACATGTTGCAGTATGGGGGCTTGCTGGGTGTTCCTTTTTTGGGCAAGCAATTCAAGTATCAGCATTATGGCTGCACATGAGGCTCCTTAGAAATGAACGACCCCACACATTGTGATGTGGCATGCTGGGTGATTTTTCTTTCTCCCAGGCGTGCAAGCTGAAGCGCGGGGACTTTGACGGTGCGATCGAGGACAGCAGCTCGGTGCTGTCGAGAAACGAGAACAACGCCAAAGCGCTCTTCAGACGCGCCCAGGTACGAATGTGTCTTTTTCTGGGCCAGTGCTCCTCTCAACAGGGTATATCGTGAAGCATGGGAATCTCTTATTCGCTTGAAGAGAATCCATGTGTGCTTAGGCATGAGCATTTCTGTTTGATTTGTGATTGGCAGGCGTATTTGGGTCGCAATGAGTTGGAACCAGCAATTGCTGGCCTGACACAGGCCCTGAAGGTCGAACCGAACGATGGTATGTTGATGGGACTCACCTTATCGCCGTGGATTGTTAGGGATTGTTGGCATAGCTGCAAATCCATTATCTCCATCGCTTTGCAGTTGTAAACAATGTTGTTGTGCGTTCTTATTCATGGTCAGGTGGAATCAAAAGAGAGCTTGCGGCTGCCAAAAAGAAGGTGAGTGATTGCAGTATAGCAAGCCTAATTGTTGAAATGATCATTTTCAACTCATGTTTGACGTCCCTCTTTCCTTGCAGCTGGCAACAAGGAAGGAAAAGGAGAAGGCTGCATATGCGAAGATGTTTGGTTGAGATGCAGGAATAAGCACCTTAAAAAGCATAAGATTATAGCAAGGAAGTGCATCCTCAGAGGCAGTTTGGCGTGTTCCCATCGCACGAGGAGGTGGCGGGAGGTCACATGCGGTGGCATGTGGTGGAGGTGCAGCAGGAGGCTGTGCGTGAGATAGTGGTGTCGCCGTGGTGCATCAGTGACCACATGCCTGCCAGGCACCATGGGCGAGGGGCTCAAGTGGATCATGGCACATGTGGGGGAGGGTGAGCAGGGCACGGTGGAAGGCGGGAAGGACAATGGTGAGCGAGGGGTAAGGGAGTGGGAAGAGTAGCCAGCAAAGAGAGGATTGGCTTGGCTGGTATATCTAGGGCAAGGACTGGTTGATCAATCCAGGGCAACTCATGTTCGTTTACAGTTCTTACCCTATGGTAGTGAACACTGTACAGCTGTATTTGCAGTGGCTCCGTAGTGTGAAGAAGAGCCTCACGCTGGTTGCTTACCGTATCATGCTACCGGTAGAACAGTACTGGTAATTTCTTATCCAACCTTTTCATGTGGGTGTTTAACAACACTGCCACTTATGCTAACATACATACCACGTCTATCATCCTTCCACCCACCGAACTAGCACCTTGTGTTGTGGTATCATCAACCCAAAAACAATCATGCAAGAGCCAGATGCATTTATTATATTACTCTCACAGAGCTCATGTGGGGGTCTACGGCACTGGTCGAAGCTATCTCTCATACACCTCATGAGCTAAAGGTAGCAATGTCAATGAATAAACCTACCATGCTAGCCGTTGTTAGAGCACCCAACCGCCACTAGTGGCGCGGTACTAAGTTAGCATGAGTTGACACGCGAGATGATGTCAGCGAAGCACACCGTCCATCATGCCCTTGAACTCCGAGAAACTGACGCGGCCATCTCTGTTCACGTCCACCCGTGCAATCATCGTGCGACACTCCTCCATGCTCAGCTTGTCGCCGCTCAGCATGCGCATGGCTTTCTGGAGCTCCTCAGCGGTGATGCTACCGTCGCCGTCGCAGTCGAACAGCTCGAATGCCTTGCGCAGGTCCTCCTCCCCTTCCTCCGCCTCCTCCTCCACAATACCGCCTGCCCCGCCGTCACGTGCGCCCGCGCCCGCGTGGTTAAGCGACGAATGCACGAACTCCTCGAAGTCAATCAGTCCGTCGCCGTTGGTGTCCGCCTTCGCCATCAGCTCCTGCATGGCCGACTCGTCCGCCCACCCCATGCGATCCAGAACCTGCCTCAGCTCTTGAGGGGAGATTTTGCCATCGCCATTCACGTCGAGCACCCTGAACGCCTGCAGGACCTCATGGTTCCTAGAGGCCGCCTCCACCGAAGCCTGACCCTGCATCTGTGGTGTGTCAGCGGGCCTCACCCGCCGAAGTGGGCACGATAGGGCTCTAACCGTCAGACAATCGAGACGCGGAAGTAAACCCTAGGATACTCGAAGCCTCTTTACCCGACACTATCCGAAGCAACATACTCACTAAACGCAAGGGAAGTAGGATGGAGAAGGCGTGGCTGACTCACAGCATGGAGGGAGGTTCAGCGTAAAACTTGGTCGACTGTTTCTGGTTCTTGGGGATGGCTTCCCTCCTCTCAACTATCAACCGAAGTCGTTAAGTTACTCAGGTGGTTCTAGACAGTCCAGAAACCTACGAATCGGAAAGAAGTCTTAGCTCAATCTTAGTCATGAAATTTAGTCATGGAAACTTAGTCATGGAAACCTAAGTCGTGTTGTTTGGAGGAAACACTGGCTTGACAATTGCTGGTTGGTCGCTAAGTCGTCAAATGACGTCGTGTCGCAGTTGCTGCATCAACACAGCAGCTGATGTGTTACAGTCAGTTCAGTGCCCCAGTTCCTCATTTCCAACAAGCTGACCGTAACGCTTTGTGGCGGCGCTGTGAATCCTCGGCCCTGTTCGGTAGCCCTCCCAGTCATACTGCGGTTGGTGCGTGCGATCTTCTCTTTCCTAAATTCAAATTGCTTAAAGCCCAAAACACCGTTATTAGAACACCGAGCCTGTCCAGTGCAACTGGGCTACCGAACGCATAAAAACCCCACTTCAACTGCGTGCTAGGACACTACCACGAAACTGTCGCGCCCAGGCAAACTCGACAGTCAGTGGAAGTCCCTCCCATTTCAGCTTTCCAGTTCAACCCAGGCAGGCCCGCTCAGAGTGGCAGGCTGGAGGGTATACGCTGCACTAGTTTCGATTCGGCTCAAATTAAAGTTTTTTAGCACGCTCTTTCAAACGATGAGAGATCGTGCCCGTTCCTGATTTTCTTTATCCATATCGACCGTTTTTCATTTGGCGGACTGATTTTTTGTTTGTGGTTGGGGCAGCCTCGTACAGCAGTAAAAGTTTCGGCAAGTAATTTCCCAAGAAACGCAAGGTAACTTCTTGCATTTGGGAACGAGACTTCCTTTCAGTGTGAGTGGACGCCCGAGGCTACGAAACATTTCGTAGGCTTCCCCAGTTCGAGTGGGCCCAGTGTGACTGGAAGGCTACCGAACAGGGCCCTCATGTTTGAGCAGTTTCCTCCAATCGGTTTCCCGAGGTCGAAAAAACGTGTTTCCCAGTCAAGCACACACCCAACTGACCAGGTTACATCACATTGGATAACGCCGTACTGTACACTGAGGTGGTTTTCACTCTCGCTTCTCATTCGTCAGCACGTTTTTCGCACACAGGAAACCACGAGTGGAATGGTGTGCAGTCACCCGTCACCTTCACCCAGCGAGATTCAAATCTCGCTAGCTGGTTACCACAACCTTGTCCGAAGCGATAGCGTTAGCATTTAGTACCTAGCAGAGCCAGTCCTATCGCCTAACTAAAGCCATCTCTGCCGCCAGCTCTTATTTGACCTTAGCTGCCCTTCGCCCGTCAAATCCCACGTGAAGAACTAGTAGAATTAGAAGCTTGTATTGAACTATACACAGCTTTGCTGCTCATTAGGACTGTTGAAGGGGATTACACGGTATAGGCTATCTCAATTCGCCATGTAGCAAGGGTTTGCCAAGCCATGACAGGCGCATCATCGGCAGACCTAAATATATGAGAACTTTTGGAACATGCATTTATCACCATGACTAACTATGTCAACGGCAGACTTGGAGACTAGGGTGCGTAGGAGCAGCCCGTAGTTGGTTCACGTCATCCTTAGTTTATTCCTTGCCTGCTCCGTCAGCTTCCTGCCATCTAGTAAGGTCTTTTTTTCCTCGTGTCACAAACTACACCATCTCTCACCATGGCCGATTTAAAGGCGGATTTGAAGAAGCCACTGCTTCCTCCGCGCAGACCTCCCGTACCCACAATCATCCCCCCGCAGCCTCCCCCAGTTGGCGGGCTCTCCGCCGCTCTCCCCGGTCCTCCGCAAGCCCAGTTCCGCCTAGGCGGAAAACCCCCACCTGCTCCAGCTCCCTCCGCCGCGCCATTATCCCCGCGCCTCTCGCCGCTACTCACGCCGCATTTTACGGGCACTGCCGCCAGTAGGGACCTAGGATCCGCCTCGTCCGCGTCCGGCTCGATAGCATCGGGGGGAACGGGAACTAGCGCGGTCACCAACGGCCTGCGGGGAGGCGGAGGCGGAGGGTTAGGGGGAGCGGGAGGAGTAGGCGGAGGGTTCGGGGGAGCGGGGGCTCCGCCTCCTCCGCCGGTGGGGCCGAAGAAGAAGCGCGGGCAGGGCGTGCGGTCGTGGATTAGAATCGACCCGTCGGGGGAAGTTAGCATCCTGGAAGTGGACAAAGGCACTCTGATGCGCCGGTGAGTGAGTGAGGGAGGGATGGCGGGCTGCGGGTAGGCAGTGGAGGAAAATTGGAGAGGTAAAAGAAGGCTCGGAGTGGACGAAGGTACAGAGGGGGGAGAGAGCATCCTGGAAGTGGACAAAGGCACTCGGATGCGGCGGTAAGGATGGGAGGGAGGGAGGATGAAGGGGAGGGAGGGGAGGAAGATAGGAGAGGTACAAGAGAGGAAGGGAGGAAGATAGGAGAGGTACAAGAGAGGAAGGGAGGAAGATAGGAGAGGTACAAGAGAGGAAGGGAGGAATGTACGGAGGGGAAAGGCACGCTGATGCGAAAGTGAGACAGGGAGAGAGGGGGATTTGGAGGGAGGGAGGAAGACCTGCGTGGACGAGACCAGCGGCTGTTGGACCCAGTGTTTGTGTATCCGTCCACCACTAAAAGTCACTGGTAGAGGCGTCTGACTCTGAACCTCTTCTCCCTTTCCACCGCATTCCACCTCTTTACACCGCTCTCCACCGTCAGATGCGACTTGCCCGGGCGAGACCTGCGGCCACTGAACCCGGTGTTTGTGTACCCGTCCACCATCCTGGGGCGAGAGCGCGCCGTGGTGGTGAACCTGACGCCTTTCCCCCAAGTTTCCCATTGATTCTTTCCACTACCCTCCACCACTCCCTCCTGCCAGATGCGACTTGCCTGGCCGCGATTTACGGCTGTTGGACCCGGTGTTTGTGTATCCGTCGACCATCCTGGGGCGAGGGAAGGAACACAGGTGGACGCGTCTAACGCCCTGTTTTTTTACCTTTCTATCGCTCTCCACCGCCAGATGTGACCTCCCCGGGCGAGACCTGCGGCTGCTGGACCCAGTGTTTGTGTATCCGTCCACCATCCTGGGGCGAGAGCGCGCCATGGTGGTGAATCTGGAGAGCATCCGCTGCATCATCACAGCGGACGAGGTGCTCCTGCTCAATGTCACCGACCCTGCCGTGCAGCAGGTAGGTGCCTGTGTGTTGGGATATGAATCAAGAATGAACTGTGGTGGTGAATCTGGAGAGCATCCGCTGCATTATCACTGCGGACGAGGTGCTCCTGCTCAACGTCACTGACCCTGCCGTGCAGCAGGTATGAGCTTTGTATCGTGGATCAAGGGTGTTTTGACTCGGTTATGGGTGTGGCGGTGGGTCACGGGGATCTGGAGAGCATTCGTTGCATCATCACGGCGGACGAGGTGCTTCTGTTGAACGTTACAGACCCTGCTGCTGTGCAGCAGGTAGGCGCTGCGTGGGGATCTGAATGAAGCATGGGTGCGGTGGTGGTAAGTGGGGATCCGGAGAGCATCCATCCGCTGAATCATCACGGCGGACGAGGTGATTCTGTTGAACGTTACAGACCCTGCTGCTGTGCAGCAGGTAGGCATGCCCTGACTCGTACTCCCCCTTTCCCCCCCAACGCCACCACTCACTTCTAGCACGCCCTGCAGTGGCAACTGCTGCTAGGCATGCCTGCTCAACCTGCTACCCCGTCGCCCTCTTTTTGCCCCTTTTACATCCACGCTCCTCCTACTTGTCCACTTCCATCCACCCTCCTGCATCTCCACTCGCTCTCTGCCTCACCACGCAGTTCAACCAGGCGCTGCAGCGCCGGCTTTTGAGGCGCTTTTAAAGTCGGTTCTTGAGGCGCCTCAAAAGTCCTCCCTCTCTGCCTCACCACGCAGTTCAACCAGGCGTTGCAGCGCCGGTTACTGCTGGGCGGGCGTGCCCACTCAACTCTCTCCCCTCTCGCTTCTTCTGAGGCGCCTCAAAAATTGTCTGCAGCGGCGGTTACTGCTGGGCGTTTTTGAGACGTCTCAAAAACACCCTCAAAAATCGTCTGCAGCGGCGGTTACTGCTGGGCAGGCGTGCCCACTCAACTCTCTCCCCTCTCGCTTCTTCTTCGCAATTATGTCATCATGTCATCATCAAGCACCCCTCCTGTGCCTCTCCACCCCTTCTCCCCCTTCCCCGCAGTTCAAGCAAGCACTGCAGCGGCGGCTGCTGCTGGGCATGGCTGCCCCCTCTGACTTCAGAGTGCTGTGGGGGTGAGCAGTGGGGATGAGCGTGGGTGGGGGACAAGGGTGGGGGTGAAGAGTGGGGTTGAGGAGTGGGGGTGAGGGGTGAGGGTGAGGGGTGGGGGTGAGGGGTGGAGGTGAGGGGTGGGGTGAGGGTGAGGGGTGGGGGTGAGGGATGGGGTGGGGGTGAGGGGTGGGTGTGGAGGGGTTTCTAGGGGTGGTGGGGGGTAGGAGTTGATGGATGGGATTCATGCCCTGTTATGTGTGAGGCATTGCAATCCCGCTGCAGCCCCTTGTTTGAAGCTTTAAATCCCAGTCTGGACGAACAAATGGCGCCTGCTGCTAGGTGACTTTTGAGTCGACTCAGTAGTCACCTTGTTAAATCCCAGTCTGGACTAACAGCGTCTGCTGCTCAGTCATTCTCCTCTGCTCCTCTGGTTTCCCGCCACCCCACCCCTTTCCCTTCTCCGCCTCTTCCGCCTTCTCCCCACCTTCCACTTCCACGCCTCATCATGTCACTTTATCTATCGTGCTCTTGCCTGTGCTCCAGAACGGAGAGACCAGGAGAGAATGGCTTCACACTGGATGCTCCAAACGCCAGCATTCAGAGGTGAGGGCGAGCGTGGTTTCTGGTAGAGCGGTTGTTCTGGCTACCAAGAGGCGCCTCAAAAGGCGAGAATGGCTTCACACTGGATGCTCCAAACGCCAGCATTCAGAGGAGAGGAAGGACAAGCGGTCTGGATGCTCGTGCGAGAGCAGAGCAGTGCATACCTGATAGAAGTGAGTAGAGCAGAGCAGTGCATGCCTGGTTTTTGGGGCGCCTCAGAAATCTATTCGGAGGTGAGGAAGGACAGGCTTTCTGGATGCTCGTGCGAGAGCAGAGCAGAGCAGAGCAGAGCAGAGCAGTCCATACGTGGTGTTCCGCTATGCTTAGCCAGCTTGGTTGGTAAGCAGCGCAGACCAGCGCGGGCTGGTGTGATTCAATGTGTGTATCCTTTATCTCTTATCCTGCTCCCCTTTGCTCTTCACCGCTCATCACCGCTTTTCACTGCGCTTCACCGCTCTGCACCGCTTTCCACCGTTCTCCACCTTTTCCATACGCGAGATTAGCAGTGAGGACATGTTCAGCGGGTCAGGCAGCACAGCAGAGGAGGACGACTTGCCCTTCGAGTTTAGAGCTCTCCTCTCTTTCTTCACCTCTCCTCACCGCTTTTCACCCCTCTCCACCCCTTTCCCAGACGCGAGATCAGCAGTGAGGACATGTTCAGCGGATCGGGCAGCACAGCAGAGGAGGACGACTTGCCCTTCGAGTTTAAGGCTCTTGAGCTTGCCCTCGAGCTTTCCTGCTCGGGCCTCGATCGACAGGTCAGATTCTTGAGAATATCAAAATACCACAAGCGCAGCTGCGCTCATCTTCCCTGGAAAGAAAAATGGATAAGGAAGCGTGCGTGCATGTCTGTGCATATGTGTGTATGTGTGTGAATGTGCGTGTGTGCAACTCAACCCCCCCCACCTGACTTCCCGTCCACAGGCGCAGGAGCTAGCACAGGAAGCGTATCCGCTATTGGAGCGTCTTGCGTTTCAGATCAGTACAACCAACCTGGAGCTCGTGCGGCGCATCAAGAGCAGCCTGCTGGGCCTCACCCGTCGCGTGCAAAAGGTACCACCCTACTCTTCTGCCCCCGTCCCCCCCACTGGCACTCGCACAAGGCAGGTTTTCCCTCCCTCCTGCCCTCCCCTCTGGAGCACTTGCGGCGAATCAAGCGCAGCCTGCTGGGCCTCACCCGCCGCGTGCAAAAGGTACCATCCCCCGCCCTCTCCCCTGCCTTGGGGCAAAGGGTTTTTTTCCACCCACAAATGGGTGTGCGCAAAAGGTATTGCTTTGCTCACCCTCCTGCTGCCCTCTCCCCTCTCGAGTTGGTGCGGCGAATCAAGAGCATTCTGCTGGGCCTCACTCGCCGCGTGCAGAAGGTAACACCTCCCGCTCTCCCCAACGCGTGAGCAAAAGGTATCACCTTTCCCTCACCCCGCCGTGTGCAAAAAAGGTGTGGCTGACCCCCCTCCTTCCCTCCCCTCTTTTTGAGACGCCTCAAAAAAGGTGTGGCTGACCGCCCTCCTTCCCTCCCCTCTCGAGTTGGTGCTCTGCATCTTTCGCCGTCAGCGCCTGCTGGGCCTCTCTCGTCGCGTGCAGAAGGTATCACCTTTCGCCCCCTCCCGCCCCTCTCTATGCCACATTCACGCGTGCAGAATGTATCATCCCCCACCCTCTCCACCTTCCCGTCCCCTTTTGAGGCGCCTCAAAATTCGTCTCATGTTTTGAGGCTTCTCAAAAGTCGTCTCATGTTTTGAGGCGCCTCAAAAGTGCAGAATGTATCATCCCCCACCCTCTCCTCCACCTTCCCGTCCCCTCTGCCACATTCACATGTGCAGAAGGTATTGTTTTCGCACTCTCTCGCACTCCTCCTGCCTGTGCGCATGCGAATTACCCTTTGTTACCTCCACCCCTGTCATCCCTCCCTGCCCTGCCACTCACTGCTGGCCCCACCTACCCCACCTAGGCAAGGTGAGGGACGAGATAGAGCAGCTGATGGACGACGATGGTGACACGGCAGAGATGTGCCTCACTCAGAAGCCCATTGTCACCCCTTCTCACCCCTTCGCACCCCTTCTCACACCTTCGCACCCCTTCTCACCCCCTGTCACCCCTGTTACTACCACCTATCTGTGGCCACCCCCTGTCACCCCCTGGGGAGATGAGGGACGAGATAGAGCAACTGATGGACGACGGTGGGGACATGGCAGAGATGTACCTCACCCAGAAGCACACTGTCATTTCTCTCACCCCTTCTCACCCGTTCGCACCCCTTCTTACCCGCTGTTACTCCTTTTGCTACCACCTGTGACCACCCCCTGTCGCCGCCTTTAGGTGAGGGACGAGATAGAGCAGCTGATGGACGACGACGGGGACATGGCAGAGATGTACCTCACCCAGAAGCCTATTGCGACCCCCTCCCACCCCCTATCACCCCCTGTCCTCTTTATCACCTCCTCTTAATCCCTCTCACCCCTGCTCACCGCCTGTGAACCCCTCTGGAAGGTGAGGGACGAGAAAGAGCAACTGATGAACGACGATGGAGACATGGCGGAGATGTACCTCACCCAGAAGCGCATTGTCACCCCATCCCACCCCCTCTCACCCCTTCTCACCCCTGCTCACCGCCTGTGAACCCCTCTGGAAGGTGAGGGACGAGATAGAGCAACTGATGGACGACGATGGGGACATGGCGGAGATGTACCTCACCCAGAAGCGCCTGCTGGCAGAGGAGCGCAGTGAGAGCGAGCGATTAGGGGGGCACCGGGATGACGGCAGCGACCACTCGCACACTCCGAGGGAGTCCCTTGGGGGGTTCGGATCGTCCATTTCTGCTCCTGTGTCGCCAGCTGGCTCTCCAACCAAACATGTAGGTTTGGCTTATTTGTAGGCTTGGCTAGCATGTAGGTTTGGCTTATTTGTAGGCTTGGCTAGCATGTAGGTTTGGCAAACATGGCGGTTTGGTACGAGGGACAGAAGCAGAGGAGCGCAGCGAGAGTGAGCGAGGGGGGGCGCACCGCGACGACGGCAGTGACCACTCGCACATTCCGAGGGAGTCCCTTGGAGGGGTTGGGTCTTCAATCTCTGCACCTGTCTCCGCAGCTGGTTCTCCAACCAAACATGTGAGTTCGATCAGAGAAGAGAGGGGGATTGAGAGTAGGCGGCCGGGCCCACATCATGACGACTGCAGCGACCGCTGCGCTTGGATTGCACTCGCGCGCCCTGAGAGAGTACGTTGGGGGTTGGGTTGGGGTCGGCCATTTCAGCCCCTGTCTCCCCAGCTGGCTCGCCCACCCACGGCACATGTGCGCCTCAAAAGGCCCTTGAAACGTCTCTGCAGCTGGCTCGTTTTTGAGACGTCTCAAAAACAACCTCGCTTCACCTCGCCCACCCACGGCACGTGTGCCCACGGCCTCAAAAGGCCTCAAAAGGCCTCAAAAGGCCCTTCAAACGTCTCTGCAGCTGGCTCGCCCACGAAACATGTGCGTCTGCTGCTTGTTGCAGTGATTGTCAGCCACCACTCGCACTCGCACACTTCGAGGGAGTGTGGGTTGAGAGGGACAGGAGGATTGAGAGCGGATGGGAGCCCGGCCGCAGTGCGACACCGGCGACTTTTGGTTCTCTCGAGCCTGAAAAATGACCCCTCTCGCTTGCACTCACACATCCCCAGGGAGTCGGTCTTAAAAGTTTGATCTTTAGTTAATCCGAGCGTGTGCCTACAGATCAAATCAAATCAAACCTTTCCTTTTCCATTCTCCCCCCGCCTACAACGGATCACAGGGAAGCCGCTACTTGGACGGCCGGCCGTCAGGCTTGGGCCCTGCTCCGCCAATCAGCTTCTGGACTGGCACGCACAGCGCGAGTGACAGCACGGAGCGGAGACAAGTGTCGAAAGCGTGGAGGAGCTAGAGATGCTGCTGGAGGCATACCATGTTGTGATTGATGGCACACTCTTCTTCCCATCCCCCAACCCCACACTCACAACCTATTGCGGAGGGGCATTCCTTTGCGACTTCTCAGACTCCTCGCCTCGCCTCCCACCAACCCCCCTTCAACAACTACCAGGAAAGGCACTACTTAGACGGTCAGCCGTCGGGGATGGGTGCAAGTGACAGCACGGCAACGAGCGTGGAGAACGTTGAGGAACTAGAGATGTTGCTGGAGGCATACTTTGTGGTGATTGACGGCATGATGAACAAGCTGACCCCCACCCCCTCCTTCTTCCCGTTTCCCCTCTCCTCTCCTTCCCACATTCAACCACAGGGAAGCCACTACCTCGACGGTCGGCCGTCCGGCTTGGGTGGAGCGCCGCCGTCCATCAGCTTCTGGAGCGGCGCGCACAGCGCCAGTGACAGCACGGCGACAAGTGTGGAGAACGTAGAGGAACTAGAGATGCTGCTGGAGGCATACTTTGTGGTGATTGATGGCACGCTGAACAAGCCGACCCCCACCCCCTCCTTCTTCCCGTTTCCCCTCCCCTCTCCTTCCCACATTAAACCACAGGGAAGCCACTACCTGGACGGTCGGCCGTCCGGCTTGGGTGGAGCGCCGCCGTCCATCAGCTTCTGGAGCGGCGCGCACAGCGCCAGTGACAGCACGGCGACAAGTGTGGAGAACGTGGAGGAACTAGAGATGCTGCTGGAGGCATACTTTGTGGTGATTGATGGCACGCTGAACAAGCTGACCCCCACCCCCTCCTTCTTCCCGTTTCCCCTCTCCTCTCCTTCCCACATTCAACCACAGGGAAGCCACTACCTCGACGGTCGGCCGTCCGGCTTGGGTGGAGCGCCGCCGTCCATCAGCTTCTGGAGCGGCGCGCACAGCGCCAGTGACAGCACGGCGACAAGTGTGGAGAACGTGGAGGAACTAGAGATGCTGCTGGAGGCATACTTTGTGGTGATTGATGGCACGCTGAACAAGCCGACCCCCACCCCCTCCTTCTTCCCGTTTCCCCTCCCCTCTCCTTCCCACATTGAACCACAGGGAAGCCACTACCTGGACGGTCGGCCGTCCGGCTTGGGTGGAGCGCCGCCGTCCATCAGCTTCTGGAGCGGCGCGCACAGCGCCAGTGACAGCACGGCAACGAGCGTGGAGAACGTGGAGGAACTAGAGATGTTGCTGGAGGCATACTTTGTGGTGATTGACGGCACGCTGAACAAGCTGACCCCCACCCCCTCCTTCTTCCCGTTTCCCCTCCCCTCTCCTTCCCACACTGAACCACAGGGAAGCCACTACCTGGACGGTCGGCCGTCCGGCTTGGGTGGAGCACCGCCGTCCATCAGCTTCTGGAGCGACGCGCACAGCGCCAGTGACAGCACGGCGACAAGTGTGGAGAACGTGGAGGAACTAGAGATGCTGCTGGAGGCATACTTTGTGGTGATTGATGGCACGCTGAACAAGCCGACCCCCACCCCCTACTTCTTCCCGTTTCCCCTCCCCTCTCCTTCCCACATTGAACCACAGGGAAGCCACTACCTGGACGGTCGGCCGTCCGGCTTGGGCGGAGCGCCGCCGTCCATCAGCTTCTGGAGCGGCGCGCACAGCGCCAGTGACAGCACGGCGACAAGTGTGGAGAACGTGGAGGAACTAGAGATGTTGCTGGAGGCATACTTTGTGGTGATTGACGGCACGCTGAACAAGCTGACCCCCACCCCCTCCTTCTTCCCGTTTCCCCTCTCCTCTCCTTCCCACTTTCAACCACAGGGAAGCCACTACCTCGACGGTCGGCCGTCCGGCTTGGGTGGAGCGCCGCCGTCCATCAGCTTCTGGAGCGGCGCGCACAGCGCCAGTGACAGCACGGCGACAAGTGTGGAGAACGTTGAGGAACTAGAGATGTTGCTGGAGGCATACTTTGTGGTGATTGATGGCACGCTGAACAAGCCGACCCCCACCCCCTACTTCTTCCCGTTTCCCCTCCCCTCTCCTTCCCACATTGAACCACAGGGAAGCCACTACCTGGACGGTCGGCCGTCCGGCTTGGGTGGAGCGCCGCCGTCCATCAGCTTCTGGAGCGGCGCGCACAGCGCCAGTGACAGCACGGCGACAAGTTTGGAGAACGTGGAGGAACTAGAGATGTTGCTGGAGGCATACTTTGTGGTGATTGACGGCACGCTGAACAAGCTGACCCCCACCCCCTCCTTCTTCCCGTTTCCCCTCCCCTCTCCTTCCCACACTGAACCACAGGGAAGCCACTACCTGGACGGTCGGCCGTCCGGCTTGGGTGGAGCGCCGCCGTCCATCAGCTTCTGGAGCGGCGCGCACAGCGCCAGTGACAGCACGGCGACAAGTGTGGAGAACGTGGAGGAACTAGAGATGCTGCTGGAGGCATACTTTGTGGTGATTGATGGCACGCTGAACAAGCTGACGCAGCTGTCGCAATACATTGATGACACGGAGGATTTCATTAATATTCAGCTGGATAATGTTCGCAATCAGCTCATTCAATTCGAACTCATCATGACCACCGCTGGTGCGTGAATGAGTGTGTGGCTGCTGCTGCTGCTGCTGCTGCTGAGTGTCTGGTTTCTGTTGATGGGTGTATGGTTCCTGTCCACTGGTGAGTTTCGGCATCACCGCTTAAACGGGATGTGTGTATCGCTCTGTGCTACACGAGCAGCTCAAGGTGAGCAGGTTGAGGTGAAACAGTCTCCCTCCCTTGCCTCTCCCCACACCGCTTCCCTCTACCCACTCTCCCTCTTTCCTGCCTCCCACAACTTTCTGGCAGGGTTTGTGGTGGGGCTGGGGGGGGTGATTGTGCCTCTGGGACTGGAGAGGAGGGTGGGTGGGCAGTGCAGGAAGGGCATGTTGACTCAAGCACAGTCCCAGGCCTGTGCAAACACTCACCGCTCCCTCCTCTCCCCACACCTGTTTCCTGCTGCCCCCTGCAATCCCACCTATCTACTTCTTCCCATCCATTGGCAGGGTTCGAGGTGGTGCTGTGGGGGGTGATTGGGATGAACGTGCCGCTGGGATTGGAGGAGGACCCATCCGCCCTCAAGTGGATCCTCATTGACTCGGGTGTGGGCGGTGCGGGGACGACACCTTTAGTCAAGCACCGTCTCTTGTGCCCGTCCTGATACTCAAACTTCCTGCTCCCCACATCTCTTTCCTGCTTCTCCCCCGGTCTCTTTCCTGCTTCTATTACCGCGGACAAAACGCAATGGCAGGGTTCGTGGTGGCGCTGTGGGGGGTGATAGCGGGCACGTTTGGGATGAACGTGCCTTTGGGCCTGGAGGAGGACCCGTCGGCCCTCAAGTGGATCCTCATTGACTCGGGTGTGGGCGGTGTCCTCATCTTCCTCGCCTTCCTCGCATTCTTCCGATACAAGAATTGGACCATCACTTGACGTGAGCACTGATAATCATGAACACATTCACCTTTCTCCTCACCTTTCTCCTCACGTTCCTCTTTACCTTCCTCATTTTGGAGGCACCTAAAAAAAATCCTCTTCACCGTCCTCTCCTTCCTCACCTTCCTCGCCTTCCCCACCTTCCCCACCTTCCTCACCTTCCCCACCTTCCCCGCCTTCCCCACCTTCCCCACCTTCCTCGCATTCTCCCGACACAAGAGCTGGACCATCACGTGGGGTGAGCACTGGGCGATCACAAGACATGAGTTGATGACGAGACAGGAGTTGATGCTCCATGAGTCAATGTACCTCCATGGTACATGGAGTGCGGAGCGGAGCATAACACATCAAATATCCAGAATAGCAGATGCCACGACAAGCGCTGGAGCCTGGAGCGGGTGGTAACCTGATTTGAGCTCTGTGACATGTAACATGTAACAATTGTTGCAGTAACACAGAGAAGTGCCCCAAGAGTTGATAAGAGGCTCTTATGAGGAGCAGAGTATATCCAAGATGGCCTCTGTGTATGTTTAGTTGTACAGATAAATGCTTGCAGCTTCAACAATCACTCGAAACAGTTTTAAACTGCTGGCACTAAATGCAAAATGATGTTCCCAGTTCCTTACAGCAAAAACTGATGGAGTAGGAAACTTACTAGAGATTGCAAAGCTACACTATTGGAACCATCATTTGGTAAAGCACTTTATATCTGCTTTCTACCACATAACAGGCTACAGATATTGTCAACAGACAGGTTTGGCGGGTTTTCGCAGTGTGAGAAGAACGCCTGTCATGTTGTCAGGGCTAAGATGCGATGAAAGAGTGACCGCTTGATTGAGGCCTAGTGCGAGGAGGCCGCAGTGTTGGGTACCTAAGGTGATTGCCACATGGCGGGTTCCAGTTGGGAAATGATGACTGCCATGTTGTCAGGCCTAGATGCGACGAGACGAGTGCGCGCTTGAGACTAATGTGTCGGTTTGTCAAAGGTGAAAGAGGCCTCGCAGGATTCTTTGGGAGGCAAAGGAGGGGATTGCCACATGGCGGGTTTGAGCTGTGCGATGATGACTGTCATGTTGTCCAGGCCGAGAGGCGATGAGTGCGCATCCTTAGCAATGCATTCATCCATGAGCTGTGCACATATGTCGGTTAGGGGCACCTGGGAGGGGCAAAGTCAAGAGGCAAGGCAAGGTGATTTTGTGAGGAGATGAGATCATGCATGCGCCCATGAGCTGTGCATACACGTCAGTTAGAGGAACCTGAAAGGGAAAGAGAGGAAAGGAAGAACAGGATTTGCAGAGCCGGCACAATGAGTGATGAGTGATGAAGTAATGAGTGATGAGAGACCAAGTGATTAGGTGGTGAGTGTATGCCCTTGGGAGGGCCAAACCAAACACAAGAGGAATTGAACCAAATGCATGATGAATCATGAGTCTTAATGATACTATATGTGAGGTTCCTGGGGTCTCCCTCCCTCCTCCTCCTCCCTGCACACGCCTCCACACGTCACCCTCACCTCTTTCGCCAGCCTTGATCGCACAAACGTGACCACGGCTTGGCTTGACATCACGTCCCTGCAAGCAGGAAGCCACGCAAGCAACATGCGGGTGGGCAGGCAGGCGGGCGGGCAGGCGGGTAGGCAGGCGGGCAGGCAGGCAAGCAGGCAGGGCAGGCGGGCGGCGGGTGGTTGGATAGATGAGAGAAAGAAAATTGCATTGAGCACTGGACATAACGGGACCTCTGAGGCTTAAAGCGACGGGCAACTTTTGGCAGTGTTGGGTTCAGAAGTTTTTTTTTTTAACCAGGCTTGCCAGCGCGAAAGTGCTGGCTGGCGAAAACCAGGATTTCGTGCGGACACTTTCCATCCGCAGTAACAGTTCGCCAGGGTTCTGGGTTTTGGGTGGCAAATGTGCACCGTCGCTTTAACCGTTTGAGCTGGCACACGCCCGAGTGGGTGTGTGAGGAAAACCCTGAAAGGGAGACTTGGGCTGTAAAGGAAAGAAACTTACCAGATGCCATCGCATGCAAGCACAATGAACTCGTCTTTATCCGATAAATCAACCTGCAATGACAGAACAGGGCGGTATGGAAACCACAAATGCGGATTGCGGAAGGGTTACATTTGTGGGGCGACAGGCATGGGACGAGATGCAGGGATGGGGATACATGGATTGGGGGAAACGCAGGTAAGGGGAGCCATCAGGAGCATAGTAAGTGTAATTTCTGGTAGAGCAATTACCAAATGTGCCTCTGGAAAAAATGCTTTCAGTAAGAAGTTCGTGTCTATGATTTGAGCTAGAATTGACTTGATAGCAGGGGGTTACGAGTTGATCGCTACTGCAGAAGCGCTGGGAGGGGTTTACCGATTTGACTTCAGGCAATGCCGTGACTGCCTGCTTCTCTGGAGGTAGATCAGGCCTGTGCTTGTACTCCATGTCCCCTGCTCACCCATAGATTCACACACACACGCACACACATACGCGTGTTTATAGGTTATACATTCCCCGACTGCTCAATGCGCCTGCTCGATCTAAGCAAAGGGAGGACGAGGAGGGGAAGAGGGCGGGGAGGGAGGAGGGGGGGCGCGTGCAGGGCGGTGTGGGAAGGGTTTACCTAGGGCACGGGAGAGGTTTTTGAGAATTCTCAAAAACCAGCTCGTGTGGGAAGGGTTTACCTAGGGCACGGGAGAGGTTTTTGAGAATTCTCAAAAACCAGCTCGTGTGGGAAGGGTTTACCTAGGGCACGGGAGAGGTTTTTGAGAATTCTCAAAAACCAGCTCGTGTGGGAAGGGTTTACCTAGGGCACGGGAGAGGTTTTTGAGAATTCTCAAAAACCAGCTCGTGTGGGAAGGGCCTGTGCTTGTACTCCATGTCCCCTGCTCACCCATAGATTCACACACACACGCACACACATACGCGTGTTTATAGGTTATACATTCCCCGCCTGCTCAATGCGCCTGCTCGATCTAAGCAAAGGGAGGACGAGGAGGGGAAGAGGGCGGGGAGGGAGGAGGGGGGGCGCGTGCAGGGCGGTGTGGGAAGGGTTTACCTAGGGCACGGGAGAGGTTTTTGAGAATTCTCAAAAACCAGCTCGTGTGGGAAGGGTTTACCTAGGGCACGGGAGAGGTTTTTGAGAATTCTCAAAAACCAGCTCGTGTGGGAAGGGTTTACCTAGGGCACGGGAGAGGTTTTTGAGAATTCTCAAAAACCAGCTCGTGTGGGAAGGGTTTACCTAGGGCACGGGAGAGGTTTTTGAGAATTCTCAAAAACCAGCTCGTGTGGGAAGGGTTTACCTAGGGCACGGGAGAGGTTGAGGCAGCCGTCTATCCGGCCGTCCGACACGAACTTCCCCGACTGCTCAATTCTCCTGCGCTCCTCCGGCATGGTGGGCTTGTGATCTCGCGACATCTCCACCGCCTCTCCTCCCCGGCTCACCACACACCGCGAGTCGCCCGCATTCGCCACCACCAGCTGCCTCCCCGCCACCACTGCTACCACCGCCGTGCACCCCGCCTCGGGGCCCCGATAGGCCTTCTGGGGTGTCGTTTTCTTGACCATAAAGATTGGCTGGTGGGTGTGCATGGGGGGGGGGGGGGGGTGGGTGTGGTTGGGGGGATTGGGAAGGTATGGGATGGAGGAAGAGGGGCTTGTGGTCTCGAGCCATCTCCACCGCCTCGCCTCCGCGGCTCACCACACACCGCGAGTCGCCCGCATTCGCCACCACGAGCTGTTTCCCTGCCACCACTGCTACCACCACCGTGCACCCCGCCTCGGGCCCATGATAAGCTTTTTGGGGTGCCCCTGTCCCTCTATTGATCATGAATATTGGCTGGTGGGTGCGTGTGGGGCGAGGGAGGGAGAGGGTGGTGGTTGGGGGAGTTGGGACAGGCCTGCCTGCATTGGGAGGGCGGTGCTTCTTTGACACGTCTTTGTCAGAGTTAACAGGGGAGGCAAGGCATGATACACCAACACACCGAGAAGCACACGCGCACACTAGCATGCACTAACACACACTAGCACGCACTACCACTCATTACCACGCACTACCACTCATTACCACGCACTACCACTCATTACCACGCACTACCACTCATTACCACGCACTACCACTCACCACCTCACACACCTTTGCTCCCTCGGCGTCCTCCTCGTCCTCTTCCTCCAACTCCTCGCCTCCAGCCCCCTGCTCTCCTTCCTCCCGTCTCTGCACCACCATCTCTGTATCACCCTCCCCCTCCTTTCCCTCCTTCCTCTCCTCTCCCTCCCCTTCCTCCCCACCTTTCACCTCTTCCGTCTCCCCCACACCCTTCCCTCCCTCATCCCCCTTCTCCTTCTCTCCTCCGTCTCCTCCCTTGCTCTTCGCCCGTCCTTTACCCTTCGCTACTCTGCCCTTCCCATCCTTGCCTCTCTGCCCGTCCTTCCCCTCCTCCCCTTTTCCTCCATCCTTCTCCTTCTCCTTCCCCTCCTTCTCCTTCTCCTCCTTGGCTCGCCTAACAACGTCAGCGAGAAACATCTTGATGAGGCTGGACGACAGTGACGACGAATGCACGCGCGCCCTCGTCCCTCCCTCCTTCCGCTCGCCCTCCCTCTTCCTCTTGTTCGTTTTTTTCTTCTTCTTCCGCCCACCACTCTCACCCTTCTCCTCACCGCCCTCCACCTTCTCTCCACCACTCTCCACCTTCTCTCCACCACTCTCCACCTTCTCTCCACCATTCTCCCCCTTCTCTCCACCATTCTCCACCTTCTCTCCACCATTCTCCCCCTTCTCTCCACCACTCTCCACCTTCTCTCCACCACTCTCCCCCTTCTCTCCACCATTCTCCACCTTCTCTCCACTACTCTCAGCCTTCTCTGCACCACTCCCACCCTCCTTCCCCGTCTCCTTCCCCTTGCCGCTCTCCTCTTCATCTGCAGATGCGCCCTTCCCCTGTGCGCCTAACGCGCTAGTGCTTCTCCTGGGTTTTGATTTCCGCTTTGCACGGCTTCTTCCTCCCTGCTCCTTCTCCCCCCCCTGCTTCTCCCCTTGCTCCCGCCCCTGCTTCTCCCCTTGCTCCACACCTTGGCATCCAACCGTTTCACTTGCTCCACCCGCCGCGCCGTCCTGTATTCTTTCTAACCCCTTTTCCTCTGCTGCATCTGCTCTGCTCTCCAATGCCCCGCCCTTAGGCCCCTCTCCTACCACCTCCCCACCACTATCCGCCTCTTCCCCTTCCTCATCCTCCTCATCCTCTTCTTCTTCCTCCTCACCCTCCTCAACCTCCTCCCCTTCCTCCTCTTCCTCCTCCTCTTCCCCCTCCTCCTCCTCCTCATCTTCCCCTTCTTCCTCCTCTTCCCCCTCTTCCTCCTCTTCCTCCTCTTCCTCCTCTTCCTCCTCCTCCTCCTCACCAGCCCCGAACACAGAGGCAACGAGCGCGCTGCGTTCGCCCTCGCCTCGGCGCGCTTCTCGCTCCTCCTGTCTCAGCCGCGCGTCCTCACTCTCCTTCCCCTCGCTCGCCAGCTGCTGCAGCTCCGCCCGGTGCTCCTCGCGCGCCATCATCTCGTCCATCCTGTAGACCGAAAAACAAATGTCATGTACATTAATACATAATGACGAGAGTTGACGAAACTTGTCCTTCAACAAATCATACTCCTTGTCCATCTTAAGGAAAAAAAAAGGGCTTCTGCTCGGATGACTCGGCAACACCCGTCGCACAACGGCCCACAAAAACCAAACCAAACTAGCTGCAAGGAAACGTAAGCCATGGTTCAGGCGACGAAGCAAATCATAGGAAATGAGGACGAAAGGGAGCCTTGAAACTAGCATTCCTTCACACCTAAAGAAGGTGGATATGAGAGCCTTGGGAATGTCCCCCGGGTTGGCCTCGAGAGCCGTTGCGAGCTGCGCTGGTAGGTGCCGCCCACAGAACGCTGCCACTTCGCTGCCTGCCGCGGGCGAAAACACGGGTAGATGTAAGCGGGGGAGAAGCGGAGTGGAGGGGTTGAAACGGAGTATTCTGAGTTGAGTCTATAACCAGCTGCGCTGGTAGGTGCCGACCGCAGAACGCTGCCATCTCGTTGCCTTCCGCGGGAACATGTGGCGAGGGGGGAAGAGAGAGAGAGAGGGTCAAATAACTGTGCGACCTGCAATAAGAATGTGCTACGGCGGTGCTTCGAAAGGGCGACCGAAGTGTTCTACGCGAGAGATACATACGACGGAAACGGGACTCGTTTCGAGACGTCCCGCTACACGTGAATGGGCATAGGGAAGCATGTGAGCTTACCCCCGTGACCGTCGAAAACAGCGAACACCTCTGGCCGTCCATCCCCGTTAGTATCCAGCACCGCGGCGTGCTGTTAGAAAGGGTAAGTGCATCAAGACAAAGCGACAAAGGCGTGCTGTTACGACAGGTGGTTGCATGGACGAACGCGAAAGCGAAACAACACTTTCTGGTAAAACCGACTGACAAATACTGAGAATGGCAAAGCGAAGAAAGCGACGAAAGAGTTGCTGTGAATACGACGCTAACCGCGTCTCCCACTGATGGTTTAAGGTGCGTTAAGAAAACTTACCGCGTCCTCCATTGTCATTCGCCAGCCTTGCATTGACGCGGCTGCATACCGTATGCGATCGTCCTCGCCATTCTCCGACTCTTTATCCGTTACTGGATGCGTCAAGTACGCCCCCATCCTGAAATCTATATCCCTAACTCTATCCTTAATCTTCTAACTATAGGTCTAATTCACGATTCTTACAACTGAGACATCAAGTTCGCTACGAGCTAAGCAAGCATGTACCCCTAGGGTCAGAAACTTGGATCAAGGATAATGATGTTCTGCATGTTCGTCGTCAGGAAACGAGAGACTGCTGTTTAGATTAGGGCCATGAAGTGAACTGATAAAATAGGGAGCTGTGTTGGACTTCCACAGAGGAACCATGGATTGCTACGGCCCGTATGGCCTGTGCTGTTCAATCGTATAGGTTGCATAAAGGTAGCACTTTCAGTCTCGCTGTTATTCAACTTCATCGTGTAACAGCGGCTTAGCGTAAAATCGGACCGTTAGATTAGAGTTACCACTTCAAGAAAACGAAATGCCCCTAGAGATTGTCTTTCATCAGCATTGCCGGAACCTTGCTCAACTTTGAGACCCCATTTAAAGGTTTGAAATTCAAGGCACCAGTCGTTACCTGCCAAGTGGCGGTAATTAAGGGGTGGTGAATGGCGACTGTGTTTCAGGGGGGGAGAAGATCATACAGGGGCCGATCAGTGCCAGAGCGGTGATCGACCAGGGGCCGAGAGGCCCGAAAATTACCAAACCAAGTCGCGAGGCGTGATTAACAAGAGGTCCTTGTTTATTGCACGTAAATATGTTACTAGTGGCATGGACCGGCTCGCGTTTTCGCATGCGTGTCGTTTAGCGAGCCGACTCAACCGGGAACTCTTGGGCAGCCAAAAAACACAAACTCGTAGGGAACCTGGATGCAATTTCGGGATGGATCAAGCCTAAAAAAGGGGACCTTCCTGGTTTTTAGGGTTGATGCCTCCCGAGTCGCATCCGTTTCCCAATGGGTAATTTGCGTTTCCGATCAACTAGGCGACATGTAACACCCAGAATATATTATGTTGTTACGTACACACGATTTGACACGCCGAATTTTTTATTCCAGAAGAAGGCGACGCGCGCGCTGTAGTAGACGTCGGTCAAAACCGTCAAAAAAGAAAATGAACACAAGATTTGTTTTATTTTAGCAAATTCTTCTACTCATGGTTCGGCTTGTTCGCCGAATCGTTTGGTCAGCTCCGGGTTGAAATCCTACGGTCTAGATTTTTCGGCCCTACTTCGATCACTCCTCTGGCACTGTTCGGCCCCAATATGATATTTTCCCTTTCAGGGGGAGGGAACATTCCGAAAATGGACCGCCACGTGTGGACAGCCACGAAAAAATTCTCTTGACGGTGCGGGCATGCTGCACGCGTGGAGAAAACTTTCTGTAGGCTCTGCCGTGAAGCCTGCGTGTGGAGAATGCTGGATTCGCGGGGTTGTGCCGTGAACGTGGGGCACAGTGATCGGAAACTTCTGCTGATATGGAGGCGAATTGTCAACCTTATTCAACATATTTAAGAATTCGAATGTAACTCTGTCGCAGAGTGCTGTATCGAGCCAAAAGTCACCAAATCTGCGACCACTGAACTAATTCGGTAGATGCTTGAAATTCCTCCAACTATGAAGCCACAGCCCTGACTTCCGAAACCTATAGACGAAGTATTACAGCCCGCGCAGTGCCCATCCGTTAGGGTGAACACACAGTAAAAATCGTTTTCCCCCTTATTTCAACCTGTTGGTTCTCGTCTGTGCGACATGGCCACCGTTGTCGGCGGCTGCCTACTACCAGGCTTGCCGGATGACGTGGCACTGTCATGCTTGGCTCGCGTGCCACGTGGCCTCTATGGATCTCTCAAGCTGGTCTGTAGGAGTTGGCACGCCGCAATCGAAGGGTCCGAGCTGTACACGTGAGATTCGACGACCGAAATTTATCACTAGTACTATGCAACTGCTACTGATACTCGCCACGAGTTAACAACGAACGACTTACGCACCACGAATTGGAACTATTTTGAAAAGCACCTCTTGAATTGACGTCAATTCAAGTGACGCTCTTATTCCGTGGCCCAAAGCCCTCCGAGCCATCACCCTCCTCTCTTTGTGGTTATAATGCCTCGTTCGAGACTCCTCTCTATCATCCCCTCCTGCTAATCTCCCGCACCCCCCTCATCTAACCCATCTTCCCCATCCCCCGCATCTCCCGCATCTCCCGCATCTCCCGCGTCTCTCTCCGACCAGGCAGAGGAGTAACCTGGGCGCCACGGAGAGCTGGCTGCACCTCATCCCTCTGCGCAGCCCTCACTGGTTCGCCTACTCGCCAGGTACTCGCTCGCACCTCGGGACTTGTTTCTAGATGGCTCAGCACGTAGGGCAGTCACCTGGGGCAGTCACTTGGGGCAGTCACCTGGGGCCACGGGGAGCTGGCTGATCCCTCTGCGCAGCCCTCACTGGTTCGCCTACTCGCCAAGCGCTATCTCGCAACACACAGCATCTCGCACACTAATTGTTTCTCGTGTTTTTTTCTCAAGGATTCGGCCCCCAAGATGTCTTTCCTTGTTGCTCTTGTCTCTTCTTTCTTACTGCAGTGCTATCACGCTGGTTCGCCCTGCCATGGCGCGGGCCACGCTTCGTGCGGTGTGTGGAGGTGGTGGGTCGCTACCTCCTCGCGTTCGGCACCGACGATGACTCGGGGGGCTCCTACCCCTTCTGCCACGTCAACAAGGTGCCGCGTCTTTGCATGACACATCACCAAAGTTGCAGAAACAAATATGTGCTGTCTTCTCTGCCGAAAAAAAAGATTATAGATGTAATTTTTATTACAGAAAATGAGGTCATTTCTCTTGAGTTGAACAGCTCTTTTTTTCCTTCCAGGTGGCAGTGTTTGACTCGTCCACTGGGGGCTGGAGCGAGGGCCCTCCGTTCCCACGTCAGCTGAAGCTGAGCGACACGATTGGTGCGCACGGGAAGGTGGTGCTGTTCTCGTCGGTGATTGGTCGGTGCGTGTACATGGGTGTGTCTTCACGGCCTGGCGAGGTGGTTGCGATGCGGCTGAGTGAAGAGGTGGGGGGGGCGGAGGGGGGCGCGGACTCGGGAGGGGAAGGAGGAGGGGAGAGGGGAGCGGATAGTGGACGAAGTGGAGGGGGCGGAGGGGGCGGAGAGAAAGGGGGATGGAGGGTGAAGAGAAATAACGGCATGAATGGGTATGTGGGAAGGAAGGTACAGAATTTTCGAGTGCAGGGCAGTGGTTCGGATGGTGGGATGGCAGAAGAAAGCGAGGAGGAGGTGTGGTGGGAGGCACGAGAAGCTTGGGTGGAGGAGAAGGAGGGGGAAGAGGAGGAGGAAGAGGGGGAGGAGGAGGGAGACAGAGAGGGATCTGGAGGAGGAGAACAGGAAAAGGAGGGAGAGGGAGAGTCGAGATGGCAGGCAGGGAGGGGAGCAACCAGCAAGTGGACATGGACGGAGCTGCCTTCTCCCTCATGCCCTGCCTGGTGCGGCAATGCTCCATCCACTCACCCACTCCCTCATTGAAAGCTTCCCGCTCAAGTAACCCCACATGATTCGCATTGTCTTATAATTCTCCCGTCTTTTTGTTTCTCAAAAAAATGTTTCTGTTTTTGTTTTTCCCTGGCAGCTCTCCTCATCTCTCCTTTGCTCTCAACGGCGACTGGCACATCTTCTCAGGCGCACTCCTCCCCTCTCTAGAACCCTCTATTATCTCATTCCATCCGTCCACCCACTCCTGGTCCCAGCCGTCCTCGCTAAAAGAAATCTACAGCAGCAGCAAAACAGCAGACATTGTAACGTCCTTAGGCCTTGGGATTCCCGGTTGGAGAGCTGATCTCGCCAAGAAGATCATATCGTCGTGGAGGAACGGTGGGGGTCTTCGGCATTTAGCGGTCTTGGATGGAGGATTGGTGGTGTCTGTGGGGGGCTCTAGGTTGGGTGGACGGGGAAAGGGCGATTTGCAGGCGTGGGTGGAAGAAGAGAAGGCGTGGAGGAAATTGGCCGATTTGCCGTTTGATGGAAAATGTACGCAGCTTAGAGTCCTTATCAGTATATAGTTCGTTCATCTTAATCTAGCTTGGATTTGTTTGAGTTTGCAGTTAGTATCCAATTAGGGAGAGAGCTGGAAGTGTAAAGCACCCTTCCGGGAGCTGTAAATATTTGTATCGAGGACCTTCTCGCGCGTACAATGTTCCTCACACGCTGCGAATGTGGCGCAAAATGCCGTTTTTCTCCCGCATCGAGTCCCCCCGTTCTTCCCCCTCCCCCGACTTCACTGAGAAGCACCAACATTGGCTTGGCATCTGCGCAAGACTCTGTGCACCCAACTCTGCACGGCACACAATTTCCAACTGGACCAAATATCTGGACTGGATGTCTATATGTTCTAGACTTCACGTCCGCCTCTGTGTGCACCTATTGTTGTTCTTTCCTTATTCTGCAGCAGATTTTGGCGGTGGGCGAACTATTAGCACCTCGAGCACGGCGCTCCGTCCCGGCCTAATTATCTACATATCATCAAGACGACTGCTTGCCCGCACTGCTTGTTATGGCTTCCGCGGCTTCCCTCACATCGGGACGAATTCCCGCGAATTTCGTTACAGATTTCCACCATGCGGCAATCCAACGGACTCCGTCAACCTCCGCTCGAAGCGTAATGCCTGTCGCCACCGCTCATTCCACGCATTCCGCGCGCTCCGCGTACTTTGCGGCCGCGGCACTTTCGTCCGCTGCGTCCGTGTCTCGCGCCTCGACTCCCCTCTCGCGCGAAAGCGGCGTCCGCGCGCCGTCCTCCCCCTGCGCGCCGGTTCGGCACGGCGCCTCCCGCCGTCTCGTCGTCAGCGCCAAGTACCTGGGCAAGTTCGGCTCCGCGCCTCCCGCGCCTATCGCGCCCTCCGCCGCCCCGGCCGCTGCCGCCGCCGCCAGCTCCGGCGCCGCTGCCGCCACGCGCTCTCCGCCCGCCAGCAACACGCTCCCTGCTCTCGCGCGCCAGCTTCTTCCGCTCACCGCGGCGGTCGTGATTCCCGTCGCCGCCACCGCGGCCGCGTTCGCCGCCGCGGGCTTCGGGGAACGCGACGCGTACCGGTGGTTTCGCAGCCTGAACCCTCCCTCTTTCGCGCCGTCCGATTGGCTGATGGCCGCCACGTGGACGGTGCTGCAGCTGCCAGCTGGCGCGGCGTCGTGGATGGTTTGGCGGCAAGGCGGATGGGCGAGGCAGCGCGGCGCGATGGAGATTTACTTTATCCAACTAGCCGTTGGATTGCTTTGGCCAATCGTCATGTTCCGTCTGAAGAAGATCGACGCGGCGGCTGCAGTTGCAGGTATGGGGGGCTAATGGGTGGGTGGGAGGTAAGGTACGGTTTAGAAGTGCTACCGTGGCTGGGCGAAAGGCGTTATTTGGTCTGGGGGGCTGGTGTGGCGAATTGTCACGTTCCGCCTGAAGCAGATTGACTGTCTGGCAGGTAACGGGAGAGGAGCAGCATACAGCCCTTGTGAAAGGAAAGTATGGAACTGAAAAAAGCGACTCTCCAGTTGTCAAGCTCAGAACTCTTACGGAATAGAAGGGCAGGGAAGGCACCAGTGAACGGGATATAAGCGCCAACATGAGTTGAAATTGGAAATGCAACGCATTTTTCCTCCATTCGTCTCCGTCAACTCCTTCGCAGAGGTGAGACGTAAGGCACCATTGTGAACTTTAAACGGGACTTTTAAGCGCCAATCTCAGTCGTTACTTGTAAATGCAATGCACATTTTTCCTCCATTCATCTCCTTCACCTCCATTTCATTCCTTCCACCGAATTGCCTCTTGCTCGCATCTCCCCTCACAGCTCCCCTCGCCTCTCCCCTCGCCTCTCCCCTCGCCTCTCCCCTCGCCTCTCCCCTCGCCTCTCCCCTCGCCTCTCCCCTCGCCTCTCCCCTCGCCTCTCCCCTCGCCTCTCCCCTCGCCTCTCCCCTCGCCTCTCCCCTCGCCTCTCCCCTCGCCTCTCCCCTCGCCTCTCCCCTCGCCTCTCCCCTCGCCTCTCCCCTCGCCTCTCCCCTCGCCTCTCCTCTCGCCTCTCCCCTCGCCTCTCCCCTCGCCTCTCCCCTCGCCTCTCCCCTCGCTTCTCCCCTCGCCTCTCCCCTCGCCTCTCCCCTCGCCTCACTTCTCGCCGTTTCTCAGCTTCATGTCTTTTACCCTGGTCATGGTCCCCTCCCCTCCTCTCCCCTCCCTCCCCTCCCCTCCTCTCCCCTCCCTCCCCTCCCCTCCCTCCTCCTCCAGGCGCCCTCACCGTCTCCTCCCTCTCCACCTTCCTCGCCTTCTACCGAGCCTCTCCCCTCGCCTCTCCCCTCGCCTCTCCCCTCGCCTCTCCCCTCGCCTCTCCTCTCGCCTCTCCCCTCGCCTCTCCCCTCGCCTCTCCCCTCGCCTCTCCCCTCGCCTCTCCCCTCGCCTCTCCCCTCGCCTCTCCCCTCGCCTCTCCCCTCGCCTCTCCCCTCGCCTCTCCCCTCGCCTCTCCTCTCGCCTCTCCCCTCGCCTCTCCCCTCGCCTCTCCCCTCGCCTCTCCCCTCGCTTCTCCCCTCGCCTCTCCCCTCGCCTCTCACCTCGCCTCACTTCTCGCCATTTCTCAGCTTCATGTCTTTTACCCTGGTCATGGTCCCCTCCCCTCCTCTCCCCTCCCTCCCCTCCCCTCCTCTCCCCTCCCTCCCCTCCCCTCCCTCCTCCTCCAGGCGCCTCACCATCTCCTCCCTCTCCACCTTCCTTGCCTTCTACCGAGCCTCGCCCGTCGCCTCCCTGCTCTACCTCCCCATGCTCGTCTGGCTCGGCCTTATCTCCGCAATCACCTACTCCATCTGGACCAATCACAGCGTGCTCCTCGACAAGCTAGAGTGGGACGATGTGCTGGCGACTGCTAAGAAGATCTGGAGGGATATCCGGGGGCTGGCTGGCAGCGGTGGCAGTGGCAGCAGTGGTAGTGCAAGCAGCGGCAGTGGTGGCGGGGGGAGTGGGTGGGGTGCAGGGGGGTGGGATGGAGGGGAGGAGGGGGGGAGTGCGTTTGGGTGGTCTGCTGCTCCTAGCAACCAGAACAACCGCCGTGATTGATTGTGCTGTTTTGGGTTCTATTCTGGCCAACTTGTTCCTGTTGGTCAACTGACAAATGGCTTGTTTTGTGTAGTAATACACTTACTATCTGCTTAGCTATGCAGGCTTCGGTTCGGGTAGGGCACGGCTGTGCTGCACTGGAGGAGCGAGGAAAATGTTGTGCATGAATCAGGGGGTGCATGGGTGGCGAAGTACTTAGCGACGACATCAGGCGTGGGGCTGGTACTTGGAGGGAGACAGTCTGTCGTACTTAGGGCGTGTAACCATTTTGCCATTTTGGGTTTTTGCGGACTGTCCGTTTTTTTTCATTCGAACGGTCCTAATTGACGGTTAGGGCCGTCCAAATCGACAATTCGGCACTTTGATACCGTCCGAAGTAGATAGTGACACTTTTTCGAGTCTCTTTCAGATTCGCGAGTTCTGTAGCATCGCGAGAGGCACTGTACTTTTCGTAACCCAAGTCACGGTTTTCGCTATTTTCGCGTAAACCCCTTCGCACTATGTTCGAACATTTGGCGACGATGTCAAACCATATATGTGCTAGTTGTGTGAAGGCTATAGTGGGGTAGCCCATGTGGGGTACAACCCAATATTAGGGTTAGTACTTGTCTTGTACCCACAATTCATTCAATGCACTCATTCCTGCTTGCTATCTTGATATGGTTTCAGAGCAGTAGATCCGTAGGGCCGTTTTTTTTCGGGCCCACCATACTTCGCTTCCGACTGTAGTTACCGCGTTACCCCACTACCTTGCGTCGCGCTGCCCCGCGCACGCCCGGCCTTGCCCCGCGTCGCGCTGCCTAGCGCACGCCCTGCCCTGCCCTGCCCTGCCTGGCGTCACCCTGCGCCAGCGCCCTGCCCTGCGCCAGCGCCCTGCCATGCGCCAGCGCCCTGCCCTGCGCCGGCGCCCTGCCCTGCGCCAGCGCCCTGCCCTGCGCCAGCGCCCTGCCCTGCGCCAGCGCCGTGCCCTAAGCCAGCGCCCTGCCCTGCGCCTGCGCCCTGCCCTACGCCCGTGCTGCGGCCCTGCGCCTCGCGCCCTACGGCAGCCCGCGCGTCGCGTGCTGCTGCCCCGCGCATCGCGCTCTGCTGCAGCCCGCGCGTCGCGCCCTAAGGCAGCCCACGAGTCGCGCGCTGCTGCCTCGCGCGTCGCGCTCTGCTGCAGCCCGCACGTCGCGCCCTAAGGCAGCCCGTCGCGTCGCGCTCTGCTGCCCCTCGCGTCACGCACTGCTGCAGCTTGCGCCAGCGCCCTGCCCTGCGCCAGCGCCCTGCCCTGCGCCAGCGCCCTGCCCTGCGCCAGCGCCCTGCCCTGCGCCAGCGCCGTGCCCTGCGCCAGTGCCCTGCCCTGCGCCAGCGCCGTGCCCTGCACCAGCGCCCTGCCCTGCGCCAGCGCCCTGCCCTGCGCCTGCGCCCTGCCCTACGCCCGTGCTGCGGCCCTGCGCCTCACGCCCTACGGCAGCCCGCGCGTCGCGTGCTGCTGCCCCGCGCATCGCGCTCTGCTGCAGCCCGCGCGTCGCGCCCTAAGGCAGCCCACGAGTCGCGCGCTGCTGCCTCGCGCGTCGCGCTCTGCTGCAGCCCGCACGTCGCGCCCTAAGGCAGCCCGTCGCGTCGCGCTCTGCTGCCCCTCGCGTCACGCACTGCTGCAGCCTGCGCCAGCGCCCTGCCCTGCGCCAGCGCCCTGCCCTGCGCCAGCGCCGTGCCCTGCGCCAGTGCCCTGCCCTGCGCCAGCGCCGTGCCCTGCGCCAACGCCCTGCCCTGCGCCAGCGCCCTGCCCTGCGCCTGCGCCCTGCCCTACGCCCGTGCTGCGGCCCTGCGCCTCACGCCCTACGGCAGCCCGCGCGTCGCGTGCTGCTGCCCCGCGCATCGCGCTCTGCTGCAGCCCGCGCGTCGCGCCCTAAGGCAGCCCACGAGTCGCGCGCTGCTGCCTCGCGCGTCGCGCTCTGCTGCAGCCCGCACGTCGCACCCTAAGGCAGCCCGTCGCGTCGCGCTCTGCTGCCCCTCGCGTCACGCACTGCTGCAGCCTGCGCCAGCGCCCTGCCCTGCGCCAGCGCCCTGCCCTGCGCCCGCGCCCTGCCCTGCGCCAGCGCCTTGCTAAACCCTAAATAAAATCAAAATCATTAAAAAAAAAAAAAAAAAAAAAGGCCCTAGGTGCTTCTGCCCTAGGAGCTATTACCTGCTACTGCCCTGCTATGGCCGCGCGCCGCCCTGCTCTGGCTGCACGCCGCCCTGGTCTGGCCGCGCGCCGCCCTGCTGCTTTTACTGCTGCTGCTGCTACACGTGCTACTGCCTTCACTCCGTACTGCCCTAGAGGTCGCGCTCCTCCTAGCTTGCCCGCCATGACTTCGCTTTGTCGTACCGGTGGGAGTGGTGACGGCGGTGGTGGCAGCAGTGGGAGTGGTGGCGGCCGTAGTAGCAGTCACTGTGGCGCTGTTTGGTGCGGAGTGTCTGGCGGTGGCCAGATGCAGCTACGGCGGCGTCCGACCCTTACGCCCCGGCAGCTTCGTGGGTGGCTTTATCAGCGTGGGCCGTCTCCGAGTCCGGGTCGCTGCCCGTACGTCATTCGCACAGGTCGTCGAGCTGGTGAGACCTGTGGGACACCTGGTCACGCACAGTCCCGCTGCTTCGCCTATTTGACTGACGCCTGGCGCACAGAGTTTGGCGACGAGGCTTAGATCCCCCCCTGGCTTGAGCTGCTTAGGTCGGGCGTTGCTGTCTTTGCTTTAGACTATGACGCCATCCTTACTGTCATGTCTGCTTTGCGTGGTGGTGCTGAGAGTGACTGTCAGATGTGCGTGCAGTACGACCCCAGTATAGAGGTTGCTGCTCTAGGTGCTAGTGAGGCTACTGCCTTAGGTGCTAGCGAGTCTGCTTCCTCAGGTACTGCGCCTGCTGAGGCCTTGCACACCTTCACGCTTGACTCAGGTGCTTCCCGCTGTTTCTTTCGTGACAGTACTGCACTCACACCACTCACTGCACCTGTTGCAGTCTCTCTGGCTGACCCCTCAGGGGGCCCAGTTCTTGCACGGTCCACCACTGTGCTTCCGTGCCCGGCGGTTCCGTCTGGCTCACTGACAGGCTTCCACCTCCCCTCGTTCTCTACGAACTTGGTGAGCAACGCAGTTCTCCAGGACCAGTGGGTTGACACCTTTACCCCTGGAGGACAGCGTGTGGCGATCTGTACGTGCTCCCGGACCGGCCGCCACCTGGCCACGTTTACCCGTCGGCCAGGGTCGAGTCTTTACACACTGACGACTGCGCCTCCTCAGGTAGTTGCTACTGGTCAGGTGTCTGCGTCAGGTCAGGTAGCCTCCCCTTGTGAGTGTCGCTCCCTGTCACACCAGACTCTTCTCTGGCACCACTATCTGGGTCACCCCTCCTTGCCACGTCTACGTAGCATGCACTGTCGCCTCCTTGTGTCTGGTCTTCCCAGGTCTCTCCCTCACCTCCCTGCCTCGCCTGCGCCGCCCTGCCTTCCTTGCGTCGAGGGGCGGCAGCGCGCCGCTCCTCACTCCTCCTCGTTTCCCCCGACAGAGGCTCCTCTGCAGACCCTCCACCTGGACGTGTGGGGCCCAACCCGCGCTCGTGGACAGGGCGGTGAGCGGTACTTTCTGCTGGTTGTCGACGACTACTCGCGGTACACCACGGCCTTCCCCTTGCGCACCAAGGGTGAGGTCCCTGCTGTCCTGATCCCTTGGATCCGAGCAGTTCGTCTCCGGCTCCGCCACAAGTTCCGCCAGGACCTTCCTGTCCTGCGTCTGCACTCTGACAGAGGTGGTGAGTTCACTCATTCCTGATTGCTATCTTGATAGACGCGACTCGAAATGTGTAATTTGTTTAAAATTTGCACGCTAATCTCGTGCAAGGACATTCGGACGGTCCGAATGTGTTTCGGACTTTCCGCTTCTGACATTTCGAACCGCTGAAGTCTGAAAAAATTGTCACTACCGTCCAAGTTTTTTGCGACGTCGCAAGGTACAAGCGAACAGCATAATGAGAGAACGCGACACTGGAAACCCTTCGTTACCCAGATGGTCCACAATTCGGACCGTCCGGGCCAAAAAGTGGCAAAATGGTTACACGCCCTTACTAGTCACTCTGACTCTTCTTACGCTGACGACGCTGATTCGTTTTTGGCCTGACTGATTCGCTTTTGGACTAGTCTACGGTTTTTCTCTGAATTTCTCAGAGTCGTAAAAAAAAAAAAAAAAAAAAAAAAAAAACTGAATCTTCAGAGTGACTTTCACAAAAAGTCCGAAAATTCAGAATCTAGCCCGCTGAAAAGTCTGATTGTGTTTTTAGTGTGTTTCCTGTTGGCATTAGTTAATCTACATTAGACTGGCCTACATACAGGCTTCAAAGGACAAATGTACTACAACTACGTTACTACTTCTACATCCTACCTATCTCTAAGTTGTCCTAATCATCAAATCCATCATCATCATCACTATCTGATGCCTCGTTCTTATCTTCTACGTCTACTACTTCCATCACTTCAACTGCCTCCCTGCCCTTGTCCTGTTGCTTTCCTGCAGGCGGGAGTCGAGCGTTGCTGTGGGGCATCACTATCTCCTCCCACTTCGGCTCGTAATCCATGAAACTCATGCACATGAGGTCTCCGAGTCGTGCGTCCCTCAGCGAGCCTCTCTGCCACGACTTGATAATGTTCTGCCTGGAGAACCCCCGCTCGCACTCCACAGTGCTCAGCGGCAGTACAGCTACCGCCACCCACAAAAGCACAAGGTTGGGGTAGTTGTCCCGCCAGTCGGGTGTCTTGAGCATGGCTGTGAGCCCCGCGTGGAAGCTGCGCTCGCCCTTGGTAGAGGCTGCAAGCATCGAGGTGAACATGCGCAGCTCCTTCTCTGCACGTCATTCTTTACTCCTGGCGCGGTTGGGAAAAGGATAACAAAATGAGTAATCACATACAAACATACATTGAAGCGTAGATGATAACACAAACAGAGCAACGATGAAGCATGATATGAAGACCACACAATAGGCTTACCTGGCAGTATCTCTTCCGTCAGGTCGGCCTCGAACAAAGTCACAAGCGACTGTAGCCACTGAAGGCACCTCCAATTTCTCTCTCCTCGATCCAGCGGGTACTCGTCTGGGATGAACAGCTTTACCCCAGACATCCCATCCAAGTCGCCAAGCCGATGCTCGAGTTGGTGAACGATCACTGTCAGAATGAGAAGCTTGAATGACTGCATTGAAACGATTGTGGGTAGAAGTACTAACCCTAACATTGGGTCGTACCCCATAAAGGCTACCCCACTATAGCCTACACAAAACTAGCACATATATAGTTTGACACACCCCCATAGGCAAAGTGGGGGAGAACAAGGGGTCACAAGGCCAGCAAAAAAACAGAGCCGGAGCCAAGACTAAAGGTGTAGCCAAGTCGTCAACCCAAGAAGCGTTTGCGTGGCCAGTGAGGACAACTCGAGCCCGTCCTCCAAGCGCGAGCCCCATTCCCGACATACTACACAAGTAGCGCATCACCCTCTTAGCGGCCTCCCAGTGCTTTGGTCGGTGTCTCCCGGGCCCGGGCACAACGTAGCGTGCCAGGATGCTAAGAGGGTAAGCAAGGTCAGGACGAGTGCATGTCATCAGGTACATGAGGCAGCCCACAAGCTCTGGATACAGGCCACTTGGCTCTACGGACTCATCCGAAGGCAGAGCTGAGAGCGAGTGACCGGTAGGCAGAGGAGTGGACTGTGGCGAGGAGTACGTGAAGCGAAAGCGTTGAAGGACCTGCTGCACCATGTGTGACTGAGTCAGGGTAATGGTGCGCCGTGCTCTGTCCCTGGTGATCTGCAAGCCAAGATAGCTGCGCATCTCTCCCAGGTCTATGCACGTGTGTCTCTTCTGCAGCTCCGACTTCACGTGGGCAAGTCCCTCAGTGCCAGCAGTGGCAAAGACCAAGTCGTCGACGTACACGAGGAAGTAGAACGGCGGCAATGAAGTGTCTGTGCGCAGAAACAGCGACGGGTCAGCAATCGAAGGAGCAAACCCATGAGCCGCAAGCGTCGTCCTCAGTGTGTCGTGCCACTCACGAGGCGCCTGACGGAGACCGTAGACTGGCCGCCGGAGGCTCCACTGGGTACCTGCAGGAAAAGACCCAGTGAAGCCAGGTGGGCAGCGCAGCCAGATCTCCTCGTGCAGGCTGCCCTGCAAGAAAGCTATGCTGAAGTCAAGAGAGAGAAGCTCGTAGTTACACTGAGCGGCGACGTGCAGCAGAACTCAAAGAGTATTCATCTTCGGGGTAGGGGAGAAGGTCTGGAAGAAGTCAACTCCCTATCTCTGACTGAAGCCTCGTGCAACGTAACGTGCCTTGAGGACAGGCGGAGAACCCGGCGGCCGCTTCACCATGAAAATCCACGTGCCACTGACGATGTTCGCCCCAGGTGGGGGAACAGCGTTGATGTGAGTGCCTGTGGACTTCCAGGATGCCATCTCTGCGTCCATAGCTGACTGCCACTGAGAGGAGTAGGGACCTTCAATTGCCTCTGCGTAAGAGCACGGGGTCGGGATGTCTGGTGCATCCGGGTCTCCCTCAGGTGCAATCAGCATGGACACGAGATGAGGTACAGCAGCTGCAAAGCACTCAAAGTCCTTCTTCCTGTCCTCAAGGACGTCCGTGCATAGAGCACACTCACCCTCGACGCACAGAGGACAGATAGACGCAGATCCAGCAATAAGACTAGTGGCGTAGTCTAGACAAAAGCAAGCAGCAAAGTCGACAAGCTCAGCAACTAGGGCAGACGCAGTAGCAGACTCAAACGAAGGGTCAGTGACAGCAGTGGCCAGGAGACGGGTGACAGTTGGGCTGGCAGCACGAGCTAAGTTAGACCCAGGGTCCGG